CACTTGGTAGCCTCACTGCAAACAGTAACCTCAGATGGACACGAGTTAGCTTTACACCCCAGTGTAGGAAAGGACGTATTTTTTAAGTTATCCCTCAAGAAAGCTCAATTGTCCGCAACTGCTTATCAAAAATTCATTGCTACGGAAAATTCTGACAACTTCAGGCTTTCATGAACTCTTGAATATTATCCAATCTTTGCTAAATTAAATATGCCATGATATATAGGCTCTCCTTCTTTCACATTCTTAGAAAACTGTTGTCGTACAATATTCCGAAACTGTAATTATTATTAATCAATTTTCCAATTACGGAACGACAACAATTTGTTGAGGGAGAATTTTGTGATTACATAAAGAACAAAAGAAAAAAAATCGACAACCACTCTCGGCATTATTATTAATCAATGACAGCACCAGCTGTAATGCAGTACAGGGATTGTTTTTTTTTTTTTGTTTTTTTTTTTTGTTCTCTCATCCATTCAATATTTTCTAGGTTGGGATATGAAAAACAAAGGGAGGACACAGAAACACCACTCTGCTGCTCCCTGCAGTATCCACCCGGAAATTGGCCGTATACAATTTATGTGTTGACATCGATATGGCCATGGTCAAAACAAAAAACAAAAACCAATGTTCCTGCATCAGTAGAAACATAATAAAATAAGTTGACACACAAACACACATGACTGCGAACACAACTACTGCCACGGTTATCATGTACTGCCTGGTTCCCAAAGGGCTTAAAACCACACAATAATGTCAACTAATTTATTTATGGCCCAAATGTTGTTGGTTGGACTCTTTATACAATTTCGGTTTGGTTTTGCTTTGCTTTTCGACGATGGCAGCACTCAACTGAATAATACATTTTGGAAAATGCTTCAAAATAGAATCGGCCACAAACGCTGGGTAATTAAAATACCAAACAACTTTCCATTGTCAGGCATAATAAAATAAATTTCATTTTAAACTTCTAATTATGATAATGATAACGAAAACAAGTAAGCAAAGGCTACAGTTGAGCGGGGCCGACCGTTGAATACCCTACAACACTATAATAAACGATACAGTTTATATAGGCGAGATATCGAAAGAATTCCACAAGATATTGTGACAAATAATAAAAGAAAACCATCAGGTTTCGTCCTCTAATTTTCGAATAATAGCAACTTAAACTAATTTGCTCATTTCCAATTTATTGGTAGATGTTACACGTAAATGGCCTTCCTAGATCTGGAACCAATATTTCCCAAAAACCTATAATCTCTCAGAAGTGGCAAAAGATTAACATTTATTATTGGTTTTTGACTGAAACGCATCTATATGAGATACAGACATTTGACTATATTCTTCAACGAAATCAGCGTTAACGAAATAGTCAGAAGTGCGTCTTTCCTGTATTTGTGAATTCTCCAAAAAGTCACTGGAATGGACATTTTCGTATTTTGTCTACAAAAGTTGGCAAACTATTTCACACATTGAATATTTTTGGATGGCCATCCAAAACTGCTTGGCTTTTGCAATGTCCGGTAACCCCCATTCAAATGTGCGTGAGGATCGGGCGATAATTACGACCTGCTGACAATTTTGCAGTTTTTTGGTCCATTTCAACCTCTAAATATATGACGATCATCTCCAAAAAGAGTAGGCTTCTACTCTGACCCTCATCTTATCCCCATGCAAAATATCGTAAGGATCGGGCCATAAATGCGATCTGTATATGATATCCTGATATCCTAACTACTTAGTTTTGTTAGCTGTAGAAATATTACCAAATGTTTAATTCAAAATGAAAATATGCCAAAAATATGACAAAATTGAAAAAATATGAGAAAATGTTACAAAATCAATATTTTCATCTTTAGAGAGACATTTTTATGCGATTTTTTTAGACGTTTTTTCTTTCCTGCCAAGAGGCCATTCTGAATTAATGAGAACTGTCGAAATCAGTTCAGCCGTTCTCGACATATAAGAGACCTTTCAAGCATATCTTCTTTGATAGACATATATATCGCACATATTTTGCTATATATCCGATTTGTTGGATGTTAACATCAATGTAAAGATCAGAAGTAACCTTGTCATGGCTTTGTGATTTCGCCGGGATTTAAAATATTCGCGGTTTAATGAAAAATTTTGAATATTTTCAACACAAAAGATATGGTCTTTTTTACCCGCTAAATGTTATCTGATGACCACCCAAATTGGTAGGCTTCTTCCCCGCCCTAAACTCTAGCTACATGCGAAATTCCGCGTCGATTGGTCTATAATTGCGACCTGTATAGCTACTGCAAAATCCGATTTTTTTCAGTATTTGGTCCATTTCAACCCCTAAACATTTGGCGATCATCTCCAAAAGAAATAGGCTTCTATTCTGACGCTAACCCCACCTTCCTGCAAAATTTCGTTAGGATCGGACCATAATTGCGACCTGTAGAGTGATTACAAATTAACATGGACAGACGGACAGACGGACGGACGGACATACATAGCTAGATCGACTCAGCTCGGCGAGATAGGAAGATCCATATATACTTTCCTATGTGGGAAACCAATATTTCGAGGTGTTACATAAATTCTGGCCCAATCAAACTTATAATACCCCCAACACATAGTGTTGCAGGGTATAAAAACATTGATTCTTCGAGCACGATCTACAATTGAAACTACATCCAAAGAATAAGGTTGTTCCTTCTTTTTTTCACTTTTTATATTTGGTACTTCGAGCCAAATGCTAAGAATTGAATCAACAGCCAAACCATTCGGTTGGTTTTCTTTTCTCATCACCACCGAATAGAGAATAGAGTTGACAACGAAGAGGGAGATTAGGCTCTTTTCTCATCTTAACAATGGCCCGCCGAGCCGGATACAAAGAATTGAATCTACACCCAAGCGGAGCGAATAGAGAATAGAGTTGATAATCGAAAAGGGAGATTGGACTCTATTCTCATTATTACAAGCATTGATCCTCTAAGCAGGATCCAGAATAGAATTGTCAATCGAAGATTGGGGAGATTGGGCTCTTTTCTCAAACACCCACAAAGGTTCAACATTTTGAATATTCATAAAGCTCATAAAACACGAAGACTTGGCACATTTTAATATTTCTATCAGCACAAGATATGTTATAAAGATGGTAGAGATCGGACCATTCCTTCTAGTACCTATCCCCCACAAAGGGTCATAGTTTTGAATAACCAAAACGATCATAAAATCCGAAATAAGCATTATCTTCATATTTCACACATTCCATTATTTCAACTGAGATAAAAAAAACTGCAATAAACGTCATCACTTTATTTGTTTTATTTTTTTAAATTTTATTGAACGAAAGGAAAAAATGTCGGAAACAGCATCAACTTTTAGAATAAGTTTAGATTTGTTCGAATTGATAACCTTTGGCACGAACTATGGCCTTCAAACGGCCAATGAAACCGTCACACGTAGCCGGCGTTATTTTGGTCCATTCCCGGCGAAGCGCTTGCTTGAGGTGCCAACCTAGTGCCAACCTTGCTTTCCAAAATACTCCAGGCACCATTGGCCGTTTGCGCTGGAAATGAAGCGAGGAACCTCATATTGTTACCATTCTTGGGTGGCGCGTGCTGAGTTATGTTGGAATGTCCGAGGTCTGCGGCCAAAATGTTTGCATGTCCAAGGCATTTATTCTGAGAGCGAATATCGGTTGTTATGGCGGCCCACACCATCACCATGGCCGCCGCTTGAGTTCTGGTGGCCAACCGAGGGTGCACATTTTCAGCTGACCTCTTTGGCAACACGAACATTTTGTTTGTTTTCAAACTGCTGTCTTTGTGCATTTGTTTGTAACAGGCAAAAGGAAACGAGATAGACCCATAGTTCCTTTTGATGATCTGCATAGAATCACATTCTGAGTCGATTTATGCATGTCCGTCCGTCCGTCTGTCCATGTATTTTTGTAAATAAAGTACATGTCGCATTTATTGCCCTATCCAGATGAAATTTTGCACAAATCATTTGTTTGGCCCAAGGACGAACCCTATTGAAATTGGAGATAATTGGTCAAAATTTAGATATAGCTCCCATATATATCTTCGTCCGATTTGCCTTTTATTGTGCACCAAACGTGTAATATCAGTTCGAATAGTATGGAATTTTGCACGTACGATCAGATTGGACCTGAAAATAAGTATGCCGAAGTTGATCGAAATCGGTTCAGATATAGCTATAGCTCCCATATATATTGTTCATCCGATTTGTTATTTTTGTTCTCCGCAGCCGTAATATGCACTCTGTAACAACAATGTTTGGGAAAATATATCAAATACATCTCAGAAATACATTTGCTAAATTTTATCGAGATCGGTTCAGATTTGGATATAGCTCCCATATATAACTTCGTCCGATTTACTTTTTATTGTACACCAAACTTCTAATATTTGCCCAAATTGGATGAAATTTGGCACTTACGACCGAATTTAGTCTAGAAGCTAGTATGTCAAATTTGGTGAAGATCGGTTCAGATATAGCTATAGCTCCCATATATACTGTTCATCCGATTTATTGTATTTGTTACCCACAAACGTAATATGCACTCCGTAACAACGATATTCAGGGAAATATATCAAATACAGCTCAGAAATATCTTTGCCAAATTTTATCGAGATCGGTTCAGATTTGGATATAGTTCCCATATATATTTTTATCCGATTTCAAATTAATTTCGCACCAAATGGGCAATACAAGTCCGAATTTAAAAGATACAAATGCTTCGGCATATTTAGCCCTTTGAACTTTAAATTATAATTATAATCATAGCGTGCATGATTGAATTCTCCCATAAAAACTTTTAATTGTTATGCGCAGCTCTTCTAAATTAGCAAAGTGGTGTAGGGTATCATAAAGTCGGCCCCGACGGACTTTAAGACTTTCTTTACTGTTTTTTTTTATTTTGTAAAGTACTTTCCTGTTTCAAATCTGACAACCTATGGCTAATCTTCATTCTTCTTCTCATTTCATTTCAGATATAATATGCCTAGCGGGAATGATAAAAGAATGCCACATACATTTCTAAAATTACAAACAGAAAAATGGAAACAATATCCCAGATCTCCCTGATATTGGTTCTATTCCTCGCTATTGACTTAAATAATTTACAATTGTTGCAACAACAACAACAACAACAACAAACACACAACCAACATGAATCAGCATTACACACATACAATGATGTAAATCCAAAAGTGGTCCGAACGAAACGTCAGCGTTCATTTCTAGTAGAAGCAGTCCAGCAAGACTCAGTTACCAAGTTAAAACGACAAGAAGTACAACAACAACACGAACAACAACCGCAGCCACTAGATCCTCTAACGACATCATGTATCTCATCGATATTGGCCCATGAACCGACCACAACGTTCATTCAACACCCCAGCCACCAAAAGCCAATCAAAGAGGTTAATCGATTCTTCTCGCATATCTTTAATCCCTTTGATGCCTTTGGTTTCCGGTCATCATCGTCGTCGTCGAAGGATGCCAACGATGAGATACAAGAACGTGACATTCTGGCCGACTATCAGGACGACAATAATGTGGCCTTTATCAGTCCACTGTTTGTCGGTTCGTCGAATGCAGCCGATGGTGATGATTTGAATGTTTTCAAACTGTTCTGCGAAAACACCTCGGTGTCGAACATTAACGAAGAGCTGCGAGCGAAAAAGTATATCAAATATACCCACATCACCCTGCAGCACTGCTATGGCAGTGGCGCCAACGATGACAGCCGCCTGCAGTTGCAACAACTGGAAAGTGTTCAGAATCTCCAATGGATATCTAGTGCTGTACGCGATCAGCAAATGGAAGATCTCTTTGGTAAATTCGAATCGAATTTTGAATATCTGGAGGTATTGGATCTGACCGACAATCAGGTGCAGTGCATTGGCTGGATCAGGTCACAGGTGTCGAGACGTTTAAAAGTACTTAAGCTTTCGGGCAATCAAATCGATTCTCAGCATTGTAACCTCTCGCCGCTGCATCACACCAATCTGCTGCGGGAGCTACGCTTGGACAACAATCGTTTGCGTACCCTCAACGGGGCATTCCTCAATAATTTAAGCGAACTTAAAGTTCTGAATTTAACCCACAATTTAATTGCTGACCTGCCGCGAAACACCTTCGATGGTGTGTTCAAACTGCAAAGACTACACTTGGCCCACAACGCCTTGCAGGTGTTGCCCTTCCAACTGTTCCGTTCGATGAGAGACTTGCAAATATTAAATTTGGCCGACAACAAATTGCTATCGTTTCCCGACAACTTCTTCGCCCTGAACGGTGAGCTGCGCCTGTTGCTGCTGCAGCGCAATCATTTGCAGAGCATCAACAAGAATTCCTTCTACAATCTGCAGAAGTTGCTGCATTTGGATTTGTCGGTGAACCACATCACCAGCATTGATCGCAAGGCATTCGAGTCGTTGAGTAATCTGATTACTCTCAACATTTCATCGAACAATCTAACAACAATCTCCTCCATACTATTCCATCCGTTGCAGCGACTACAGCATTTGGATCTGAGCAACAATCGTTTCACCCAATTGCCCAGCGGCATTCTGATGCATCAACGCAATCTAATTTCATTCCGTTTGGAACACACTCCAATTGAAAAGCTAAACAATCTACTGTCACGTTCCGATGTGTCGCACATTGACCCGTCGGTGCTGAAACATTTGTCGCACCTGTCGCTGCAGTACAATCCCAATCTGAAGAAACTTCCAAAGACTTTATTCCTGAATGCGCCCAACATCAAGGTACTGCTGCTGGCCCACAATGCCCTGCAACAGCTACCCTCGGAAATCGCCCATCTACAATATCTGGAACGACTCAATGTGGGTCACAACAACCTCTCCTATTTACCCGAATCGTTAAGATACCTGCCAAATCTACGATTTATAAATATTTTAAATAACGACTACATTTGCAACTGCAAACTATATTGGCTTGCCTCGTGGCTAACATCGACGAACAATACACTGCGTCTGCATCGCCATACGCTGACGGGCAGCAGCAGCAGCAGCAGTTATCTCATCGACGATAACAACCACCATCACCCCACTGATGTCGTCGAGAGTGACGAAGAATTTACCTCATCGGAAAAGGCTGAAGACTTAGATTTATTGATATCCTCACTGAAGTGTCTGCACGGTTATCCGGGCGATATGATTCAAATATTGAAGACGTTGAATTGCACCAAACCGGCGCTGTTGAATTCAACCGATTTGAAAATGCATGAGCTGCATTCGACGGCCAAGCTGGATTGCAGTTTCTCGGGCAGTCCGTCGCCGGATGTTATTTGGGTAAGTTTGGAAAATATGAAAAAGGAAAAAGGAATTTAATTAAATGGTTGGGTATAGACTGCACTTATCGAAAAGAAGATTTTATTTATTTTCGTATTATATGGCGTATTTTTTGTCAACCATCACAAAACGAAAAGCATATTAGTTTGTCATTCCATTTATTATACCCTCAGCCATATGGCTACAACATATAATTTGATACGGCCAAAACGTGCCTCATCTAAATTACGGTTTTAGACCCTAGGTCTCGTTGAACCAAATCAGTTTCAGGACATTTGGGGTCGATCTAGCGATGTCCGTCCGTCTGGCTGTCTGGTGCGCACGATAATTTGATTCAAACTTGGTACATCGTAATATTATTGCCAAACTTAGATCGAGTTCGGAGATGGGCAATATCGATCCACACCTTCTTTTACCTCCCCCACAAAATGTCAACATTTTCAAAGAAAATAATTTACTGCACATAAAGACAAAGGATAATCCGATTTTGCTCCAACTTTGTGAATCCTAATATTTGCGTCAGTGCTATTCAGGTGCGAAAATGAAAAATGTAGATCCACTCCAACAGGTACCGCCCCCACAAAGTGTCAACATTTTGATTAATTATAACTCGTATAACGTAAATGTCCGATTGTCTTCAAATTGCACACATCACAATATTTTTATTAACCCAAGGTCTGGTATGAAGATGGCATATATCGGTCCACTCCTGGTACCTCTCCCACAAAGTGTAAACATTTTGAATATTAATGAAGCTAATAAAACACGTAATTAACCTCCGATTCCATTCAGACTTGGTAGATCTCAATACTTCCGTAAATACTAGATTTTTAATAACGATGGTAGAGATCGGACCATTTCTTCTGGTACCTCCCCCACAAGGGATCAACGTTTTGAATAACAAAATCGATCATAAAATCCGAAATAAGCACCCGGTTCTCTTCAAATTACACACATTACAATATTTTTATTAACACAAGGTCTGATGTGAAGATGGAATATATCGGTCCACTCTTTCTGGTATATCCCCTATAAAGGGATCTGAATAATTTTCCACCGTGTATTGCTAGTATTCACCGACCGATCTTTCGGATTATAATAGGTCTAAAAGGTCTCTTCATCCGCGACCCAAGTGCTGTCAGCCGATAGATTTGAGGGTCTTGTTGCCACAGATAACTGTGGCTTGCGCGGACGTCTTGAGCATGCTGTCGAATGTTTCTTGGAGTAGATTTGCAGTTGAAATTCAATGTTTATCGAGCTGCACATTCAGCTGCGTTTTCATATCTGCAATACAAGTGGTAAAAAGTGTGGCCGGTCACGTAACGACAAATATTTTCATATTCTTCGCTTGGAAGAAAGCGCCAAGCCTTACATACGTGCTAACAGCGACAGGACCCGAATTGATGTATATACTGGAATTCCTGAATTGAAGTATACGTTGTGACTTTAATAACGATTTTGGCTGCATTATTGATTGAGCTGATTTTCCTGCGCCTTTATCTGGATTGATTATATGCCAAAATCCATCCGATTCTGGATGATATTACACATTTTTCGCACAAAAAAGTAAAATCGGATGATATGATACATGCGGGAATTAAATTTAAATTTGGACCTACTATCACCAATTTCGATAGGGTTCGTTCTTGGACCAAACAAATTAATTTCATTTCAGTCGAACAATAAATACCAGCAGGTGGTTTGGCAAATATAAGTGTTTTAGATAAATCGAAAGAAGTGGGCGTAGTCAATTATCCAAATCGGTATAGCCATTCACAGCTAACGACATTTTTTTTATATAAATATAGATAAAATAAGTCTGTTTTTTTTTGCTCAGAGAGGTTCCCGAATTCATATAGAGGGCTGACAGTATAACGTTTTTTAGCTAGTAGTCATTTTTTTAGTCAAGAGATCCTTCTATTGGATGTGAATTCACAGTAATCCACGTCTACTGCCCGTGTATGTCAACGTGACCCACTGCAGCAATCATTCATACTTTTATCATCAGAGTGCGATTACTTTCTATAGCGGAAGTTTCACTTGTTTTTTTTTTCATATGCTCTCATATGTGTTTTTTTTTCGAAATGATGAATGTATTCACTTAAAAATGTATTATCTTAGTTGCATACTATATACACCACATACAAATTTACTAATTTGTTCCTATTCCGCATCTTTGTTTCTTTTAAAGGTTACACCAACGAACAAGATTCTACGCTATCATGCTGATCCAGATAAACGGCCAATTATTATCAATCACAATGACAAAGAATTGGGCAAATTTGAATTTAACTCGCTGACGAATGAAGAGACAACACTGAATGTTAGCCTCCAGCGCCAAGATGCCAAGGAACGTGTGGCTCTAATTGAGAACGGTTCATTGCTAATAAATAATATTACACGGCGTGATAGTGGCCTTTATACCTGCTATGCTTACAATGTGATGGGCAATGCATCGGCTTTTATACGGTAAGTAATGGGAAGTCAAGGCAATAATTATATCATTTGATACGGCCAAAACGTGTCTCATCGAAATAACGGTTTTAGACCCTAGGTCTGTTTGGACCAAATCCGTTTCAGGACATTTGAAGTCCACCTAGCGATGTCCGTCCGTTCGTCTGTCTGGCTGGCTGGTACGCACGATAACTCTCGAGAGTTAGATTGAGTTCGGAGATGGGCAATATCGGCACACTTCTTATGGTACCTCCCACACAAAATGTCACCATTTTCAAAGAAAATATTTTACTGCACAGAAAGAGAATGGATAATCTGATTTAGCCCTAAATTTGCAAATCCTAATGTTCTAGGTCAGGTGCGAAACTGGACATTATCGGTTCACTCCATCAAGTACCTCCCCCACAAAGGGTCAACATTTTGAATAATTATAACTTTTATAAAATGTGATGTAAGAGTCCGATTGTCTTCAAATTACACACGTCACAATATATTTATTAACTGGCGTAAAGATGGAATATATCGGTCCAATCCAGTTCAGACTTGACACATTTCAATATTTCCATCAACACAAGATCTGTTATAAAGATGGTAGAGATAGGACCATTCCTTCTGATACCTCCCACACAAAGGGTCAAAATTTTGAATAACCAAAACCTTCATATTATCCTAACTAAGTGTACGGTTCCCTTCAAATTACACACATCCCAGTATTTTTATTAACCCAAGGTCTGGTGTGGAATTGCGATACATCGGTCCACTCCTTCTGGTACCTGCCCCTACAAAGTGTAAAAATTTTGAATATTCATGAAGCTCATAAAACACAAAATTAACATCCGATTCCATTCAGACTTGGCACATCTCAATATTTCCATCAACACATAATCTGTTATAAAGATGGTAGAGATCGGATCATTCCCTCTGGTACCTCCCACACAAAGGGTCAAAGTTTCGAATAACCAAAACGATCATAGTATCCTAATTAAGCATACGGTTCTCTTCAAATTACACACATCACAATATTTTTATTAACTTAAGGTCTGTGGAAAATTGGGATACATCGGTCCACTCCTCCTGGTACCTCCCCCACAAAGAGTCAAAATTTTGAATATTCATGAAGCTCATAAAACACGAAATTAACATCCGATTCCATTCAAACTTGGCACATCTCAATATTTGCATCAACACAAGATCTGTTATAAAGATGGTAAAGATAGGACCAAAATTTTGAATAACCCAAACCTTCATAATATCCTAAATAAGAATACGGCTCTCTTCAAATTACACACATCACATTATTTTTATTAACACAAGGTCTGGTGTGAAATTGGGTGCACTCCTTCTTGTACCTCCCCCACAAAGGTTCAACATTTTGAATTGCCACAAAGCCCATAAATCGCGAAATTAACATCCGGTTCCAATTCAGACTTAGTACATCTCAATATTTCCATCAACACAAGATCTGTAATAAAGATGTTAGAGATCGGACCATTTCTGCTGGTACCCCCTCCACATAGGTTTCAAAATTTTGAAAAACAAAAAAAAATTTCGCACAAACATTTTTGCTAAAACAAGACCTGTTGTGAAGATAATATATATCTGCCAACCCCTTCTGTTACCTCAGCCACAAAGAGTCAAAATTTTCAATTTTTATATCTGTCATAACTTGCGAAACATGTCGGCTTCGGAACCTTCCCCATAATAGGTCAGCAGTTCGAATAGTCATAACTCAAGGCTGGGGGGTATAAATCTGTCGGCAAAACCGGCTGATACTATTTTACTTGTTTGTTGTTTACATTTCTTGTTTTTCTTTTTTGCAGATTACAAATAGATCCCATTATTTTCTATCGCGTTAAAATAGGAAGTTTACTTTCTGGTACAGCAGCAGCCACCGCCTTTTTACTGCTTACCCTGATTGTTCAAGGCTTTAGGCAGATATTTAATAGGTAAGTCAAATCCAAGAATCGTTTTTGTTTTAATTTCACCGAAAAAAATGTGATTTGTTTTTTGTTTCGTCGTAGATATGGTATTTTTGATAAATTCACTTGCTGTGCAAAACGTAACAAGAAATCGCCAAGAGCTCGTCAAATATACGCCATGTTGGATAGTATTGAGAATTATAAGAGTCAACAATTGGAACGTTTAAGGGAAAATTATGCTCAGCAAGTAATACACATTTTGACCATTTACTCTTCTATGTTTGACAATTTTAATTCACTTTCTAAAAACAATACCCCTCCCTCCCCCTACCACTTTATGATTATTAATAACTTTTTATTGTCAATTATTTTTTGATTATCATTTGTGATATATTGCCCAGGTCCATCGTATACGTGAAAACTGTACACAACAAGTTGAATGGATACAAAATAGTTACTCATCTCAGGCTAAACATTTGAAAGAATTTCGTGATATGGGCTCAAATCATTTGACAGCGCTTAAGGATCAATATTATGATCAGGTATATCGAATTGTTTCAACAAGATATGAATATATGTGTGTACCAGTGGTGGAGCGTCAATCAAAAGAGAACCAATATTTGTATTATGGGATGTCACACGATCGACAGGCAAGACATGGCCAAAAGAAGAAGAACAGTGTGTCGGTTTTTTGGTAAATTGTATGTATCAATTTGATTTGTTTGTGGGTCAATGGGTTAGTTGTTGTAATTAAGACTGAGTAATGAAATGTTTTGTTTTTATAGTGTCGAGAAGATCCAAATCAATCAGTGTTTGAATATTCCTGTGGTGAATAGAATATGCCACACACACAAATCCAATCAATTTTTAAATCATCCATCATGGGCAACGATTTGAAAAATATTTGCTTCGTATGAGTGAATTTAGAACCGTTCGTTTGGAAATGTCATCTTCGTATTTTAATTAACATTTTTATTGTGTTATTAATTACAGTCCAAGCCATTCAGTATTAGCATTTTCCTGGCAACAGATTTAGGAATATTTATTTTATTTAAATTAATTTTTTTATACTCAAAAACATATCCTAAGTACATTGCTTACCGTCTGTGAAGTTAGCTGTTCTAATTGCCATCACTTTTTTGAGGGACACATTTTGCAAAAAAAAAAAATAGAATACAATCCAGCTCGATGGTGCTAAATGTAAATCGACGAATTAAAGATGAAATCATGATTTTTACCAGGGCGATCGTGTCTTCTTGGCAGTGTGTAGTATTCATTGAAATGTTTCTAGTTTCTTTGAAGCCATAGGAAAAGGGATTTAATTTTATTTTACGTCAAAAAAGGAATACAAATTCATTTTCAAACAAAAACAAGTAAAAAAGCTGTAAATTCGGCTTGGCCGAACTTTGAATACCCTCCACCATTTGGAACGAATTTGGCTATTATCCAAAACAATAAAATCCGTTAAAAATTCTTTTAAAATTCTGGAAATATCGAATGTAGGGTCTATACGACGACGTGGACCTGCATAGGCGTGGACCAATACCGAATATCGGGAGGTATTTATATGGGGGCTATACCAAAACGTGGACTTACATGGCCCATTTTCAATACCATAAGTCCTGCAGACATAATATAAATTTGAGTAAAATTTTATTAATTTACTTCATTTCGTTCGGAAGCTAGAGTGATTTCCACAGACGGACGGACAACGCTAAATCGACATAGAATTTAATGCTGATCAAGAATATATATACTTTGTGGGGTCTAAAATGTATATTTCGAGGTATTACAAACGGAATGACAAACTTAATATTCCCTCCCTCCATACTATGGTGGAGGGTATAAGAAAGAAAAGAAATCGGCCGATAGTGCTCCTCAGCCATAGGATTTTAGAGGATGCGTAGTTACCGAAGACCCTTCGGCCCATTATGATCATCCTGTGTGAAAAGAAAGCAGGAATGAAAGAAAGAAAGTTATACCTAACACATACCTATCCAAATAAATAGTCACCGGTTCAGTTATTTCATCCTTCCTCTTGTCTGAGAAATACGACAATTTCCATTCAACCTGTAGGAGTAGGTCATTTTAGTTGCTCCCGCGCCTTCTTTGCCGTCAGACTGATTAGAGGTAGTTTGGCTTCCATTCATCATTGTCTGGAATCGGTATCTCATTACTTGGAGGCCTTTTGGTCCAATGCGTTCATCCTAGGAAGAGAAATTTCAGATAGGAAAAAATAGAAGACACAGCCGTTGGAAATAATGATTAGTTGAGGTTGTTTGCGTCAGCAGATATATTTATTTTCAGGTTCTGCTGCAATGTCCGGTTTTAGGAAGTCAGTTACTCTTATAGACTATAGCCAAAGATCCTCTGGAGTGAGTAGCGAAGATGTGGCAGGGAAATTAAAAGTATGCAGCGTATTGTGCGGGCCTGTATCACATCTTCATCAATTCCGAACGCCCGCTCGCCCATTTCGAATTGAGACGGCTACACCATTCATTCCGGGGGGAATTACTCACACGATAACACTCAAGCAGTCACTGCAACGAAAGCATATGATTATGCTGACGTATGGAAAGAACCTTCGTCTTCTCATGTAAACGGTCCACTGGAGTCATAATGTGGCACTCTTTAAAGTTCTCAGGGCCGCATTCTGATTTAGCAGGATGGTTTGACATGCCAGAAGATGCTTGTACAAAATCTATAGATAATGATGGAATCTACAGGTTGAGATAAAAACTGCAACAAAGTCATTTGTGGCCATTGTGTGTTGGAAATGAAGCGAGGGACCTCATTTTGTAACCATTCTTGGGTGGCGCGTGTTGAGTCCTGTTGTAATGTCCAAGGTCTGCGGCCAAAATGTCTGCGTGCCCTCCAGAATATTTTCGCGATAATATTCGGTATTTATTCTGATGCCACGGTCGATTAATACGAGCGGAAAGCGATCATCGGCTGTTATGGCGGCCCACACCATCACCATGGCCGGCGCTTGAGTTTTGGTGGCCAACCGAAGGTGCACATTTTCAGCTGACCTCTTTGGCAAGTAAACACGATCATTTTGTTTGTTTACAAACGGTTGGACCAGGAATGTTTCTCATCGGAGATAACCAAATTCAGCAGTTCACCACTTCTGGCCAAGCGTAGCAACTCTTTAACTCTTTTGAGTCTATTTTCTTTCTGTTGCGGTGTGAGTTCTTGCACTTTTTGGAATTTCAATGGCTTTACCCCGAGCTAATTTTTCAATATTTGCCGAATGGAATATTGCGATATGTTCAGCTCACGAGCCATTTTTCGGCTACTGCGACTCGAGTTTCGATCAAGTCACTTTTTTACTTTTCGAACCATTTCTGCTGATGTTGCTGTTTTCTTCCTTCCACTTCCTTGACGACGGGCTACGCTACCAGTATCACGATAACGAGCGATGGTATGAGACACAAACGATTTATTCACATTTAAATGCTGGAGTGTTCTAACGATAGCCACACACTTGAATTCCATCACGAATAACTTTTTTTCTGGAAAATTCTCACCACGCTTGTAAAAAATATAATGTGCTGTCACTGGAATAATTTTAGCAGCTGTCAGACGAGTGGCTTAGAAATGACAGCAATCTGAAATTGGTAGCAGTTTTTTCATCTCATCCTGCACATATATAGTTTCTCTTCCTGTTATGCAAATGTCTTGAACATCTTTTGAAGTAGTATTCATGAAAGTTTTTGAAATTAATCTATAGCTTAGAGTGTTTTTGTTTATTTCTTTAGCCAAACAATATACGCGAACATAAATTGGCAAAATGAAAAGTAAAAATAAAAAAATAAAAGAATAATCAATATCACTTCATTTCCTTCATTATTTTTATATGATATTCTCGCAAAGGCAAAATTAATTTCTGATCATTTTTCATTTCAATTTAATTCAATTTTACAATAATATCATCATCCGGTCTCTTCAAAAACAGCTCTTCAGGCATCCAAAAAGCATTTTTTGTCTCATTTAAAAAGGGGTTTGGGTCTTTTATTTAATTGTAATGTTGCGTTCATAAATTTAAAAAAAAAATCCCCAAAAACATTTTGTGATCCCGTAATATTTTTACACAACATTAGTTCTGGCCTCTATTTACTACGATATTGAAAATCATACTTCTTTTACATACTATTTAGAAATTATTGAAAAAAAAAACCCATTCATTCCATTTTCGATTTCTCAGATCCCCTTAAGATTGTTTATTTCCCCCAAATGATATCAGAATTATTTCATTCATTATACAGGAATGTGGGAAATATTATCACATACAACAATACCAAGTCCTACATAGGGTCGGCCAGTAAACACATCTGACTACCAAGTTAGCTGTCTAAATACGTAATTGTGTTTTGAAAAGAAAACCAATCTCAGTGATTTGCTGCGTTTACTTTTTTTCTCCGACCTTATGTAGACCTTCACCAATTCAATACAACTCTTTTTTTTATTTAACACACCAAATTTTTGTAATAACACCTCTTTCTTCCCCACAACATAATTTAGAACACCTTTAGATCTCTATTCGAATACATTCGTTTTCGTAGAACATTCGTCTTGAGGGTTTTTTTATACAATGTTTTTTTTTTTTCGAACTAGTTGCAGCTAAACCTACCTTTAAAATAAAACTTCGCAATGGGTATGGATAAGGTAAAGACTCCGAAAAGATTGCCTTATGAAATCGTTCGTTAAAAACAGTTTTTTTTTTGTAAATTTCCAATAAAACAAAACATCGACTGAAGGATAAATTTTTAAAATAACAAGTATTCAATTCCAATGTTTTTAAAAAAAAGTGAAGAGTTCGTTCCGCGTGAATCGATCACAACCTGGACTTGACGAATATAATGGCCTACCAAAAAAAAAAAAAAAAATACAAATAGGTCGTTGTGTTGTTGTTGATTACAAGCGTCGACGTAAAAACGGATGATAGTTTTGTTCGCATGATTTGGTATATCCTACATTGAACTGCCCTCACCAAACTCTAGGAAAAAAAGGTGGGGTGCACGTGTGTTGAGCATATTTAAAGGCAAATCTTGGCAAAGAAAAATCAAAAATGAAAAATGAAAAAATTAATGTTGTTTGTTTGCGTATTAGTTATTTGCCCATAATTATTTTTGAGCAAGACATGACAAAATCATAGCATTTAGCAGCCAGCCATATTTGGTTGATGAATGTTGTTGTTATTGCATCGTTTGTCTCTTTTTGTATAATTCTCCGTAAATAACGCATTGCCGTATCTTCTCGTGTGTCCCAATTTACTTGACAATTGGAACATTTTCTAACTGAACGTCGTATTTCATAAATATATTTACCAACCGAAGAAGTTTATGTTTCTTCCATTTGGTGTCTGCGTGTCAATGAAATGCCGCAGCCAAACGAAGAAATAGGAAAACTTGCAAATTAACAAAACCAAAGGAAACACACACACGCACACAGCGAGAGGCTTTGCGCTTGAGCAACAAGTTATTTTATGTACAGTGTTCAGAAAAAAATGGGGAACTACCTTGCAGGATTTTATTATTACATGTCAAAGGGAATCTTGAGTGAGAACTTCTTTTCAGATTGTGTATTGGGGTTTATGGTATGGAAAATCGTATTTAGTCTGATAATAGAATACCCATTCTGGTCTGGTCTTTATATATACCCTGTTTTAGTAAAAGGGAAGGCATCGAATCTTCATAGAAAAGGCCTGTCAATTGTTGCAGAAGAAGAAGAAGTTTGCGATCTTCAATCAGAAAACCATTTCGGACTTCAACCAGAAGATCTTTTTGGCAAATATAAGTCTTAAGGTTCTATTCCGGTACGCTTTAAAAATGCTATTCTGAATCCAGTAAAATATTCCGTGTTTTCTTTCTTCTAATAATACAATTTTTAATCCCCCTTTGAGACCTCTCTTTTAACCTCTATAAGTTCTTATTTCGGATGACCATTTATTTACATATAGCCCTTAAAAAGGACACGTTTTGTGGAACATTGTCTTTATTCCTTATGGACTTTCATATGGATATCATTTTCGTTTTTTATAAGTAGGCTTTTTATGCTCCTAGAAGATAGCATATTTGGGGTATTAAAGTACATTTTCCTGTTTTTTTTTTTTTTTTTTTTTTTTTATAGAAAGACCTTTTTCCTTTTTACGAAGTAGATGACCGACCTTTCAGTATTATATCTTAAACCTTAAACCTTTGGTCTGCAAAAAAAAATAGTTTTTTCGGAAGATCGTTCCTTTACTTTACTTGCCCTTAAAAGGACACGTTTTGCGGAATATTTTCTTTCTTCCTTACGGACTTTCATAAGGATGACATTTTAGACATGTATAAGTAGACTTTTGAATCTCCCATGAGAATACATCTTGGGACTTTTTAAAGGACTTTTTCCCCATTTTTTATATAAAAATACACTTTTATCTCTTTATGAAGTAGAAGACCAGCTTGCCAGTCTTACATTTCAATCCCAGTCTGGCTTGCATAGAATGAGTTTTTTTTTTTTTTTTTGGAAAACCATTCCTATACTTTAAAAAGCCCACGATTTGTGGAACATTGTCTTTTTCTCGTCTTTTTTCTTCCGGACTTTCATAAGGATGCAATTTTGGCCTTCTATAAGTAGACTTTTGATTTTCCCATGAGGGTTTTTAAAGGACTTTTTCCCCATTCTTTATATAAAAATACTCTTTTATCCTCTTTAGGATGTTGAAGACCTGCTTGTCAGTCTTATATTTGAAGGCCAGTCTGGCCTGCATAGAATGAGTTCTGTTTTTCGGAAGAGCATTCCTTTACTTATCGCCCTTAAAAAGGAAACGTTTTGTGGAACATTGTCTTTCTTCCTTCTGGACCTTCATAAGGATGCCATTTTGGCCTACTATAAGTGGACTTTTGAATCTCCTATGAGAATACATATTAGGGCTTTTTAGAGGACTTTTTTCCCCATTGTTTTTTATAAAAATACTCTTTTATCCAGCTAGACCATTCCTTTAGTTATCGCCCTTAAAACCCCCACTATTTGTGCAACACAGTCTTGCTGCATTCAAAAGGATACCATTTTAGCTTTTCTATGAGTAGACTTTTTATTCTCAGGAGAATACATGTTGGGGCTATTTAAACGAAGTTTTCTTCAGACAACGAGTCTTTTAACTTCTTAGTCTTCTCCAGTCTTTTATTTGAATGACTATATGGTCTTCATAAATAAGTTCTTACCTTGGAAAACCATTCTTTACTTATCGCATGTCCTTATGGAACACTGTCTTTCTATAAATAGACTGTTCAGACTCCCAAAAAAAAAAAATGGAACACTGTCTTTCTATAAATAGACTGTTCAGACTCCCAAAAAAAGAATTTGGGCGTTATAAAGGGCATTTAGCCGGTTCCTTTTCATACAGAGAGTCTTTTAACCTCTTTAGGAAGTAGTCTTTCAGCCTTATATTTGAAACCCTGTCTGGTCTACAAAAATAAATTCTTATTTCGGAAAAGCATTGCCCTATAAAAAGGGCACGTTTTGTGGAACACTGTACATAAAATAAATTCATGCCACTGTACCGAAATACCATAAAAAAGAATAGAAAAACAAGAAAATTGGACATGAATCAATTTAAAAAACATTCGTCAATCATGTCCAGCAAATTAAGGTGTGTTCAAAATATTGTAAAAAAAAAACAACAACAAATTTTGAACACCAAGCAAAAGCGTCTCTCGCTCGCCGCCACTGTCATATGTATATCTATCTTTATTTATTGTCGCCGTAATATTTTTAGATATATTCTTTCAGTTATTTGTAAATTTTCAATCAAAAAAAACAAAAAAAAAAAAAAACAAATTTTGAATATATATGTGTATATGTATGATTTAGGTGAAAAAGGTTCGTGAATATTCCACCGGTCAATTGAATTGGGTACGCGAAAATTATGTCTTCCAACGCAATAAAATACGCAAATTCAGCGCTCATCAAGTATTGCGTCTACGCGAAGGTTACAATATCAACAGCAGACATTGAATAAAGTTCTTGAGAATTTACCCAGTTTCTATTTTGAGAATTGTCGCGGTCGCGGTGAAGAAGACTATGCCGAAGGTAATGTGTTTGTATGGGCACACTCAGCCAAATCCAATCAACCAGTTCCATTTGACACACCCAATTTCATGTGTTTTCCATTCTTTTTCGTGTTGTTATTTCCATTACAGATATCGATATGTATTTCAAAACCAAAATGGCCTCCACCAATGATCCCCATCTGAGCAGTAACAACGCCTCATTATATCCATCAACCTACAATTCCAAAGATGTCAAAGATTTACAACTACTCAAATCGAAATTGTTGGCCAACAGTTCGGCCAACAAGGCTTCCATTTGCTGTGCATCAGGCGCACCGCCACCACCGCTAATGGCCGAGGAACACAACAACAAACGTCGTTCACAATTGAATTTGCAAACATCACCCATACACATCAACTATATAAATGAGAATCTCGATCATCGCAAACACGAATTGGAAACATTCAATTTGACACAGCAGCCACTTTTGATTAACACGCCCATACAAAGATCGCATGACGACGATAGTCCAACAACTTTCAACAATTTGGCACATAATTTGAATGTTGGCCTAACAGACGATACGGCATTGGCATTGTGTCAACTGCAAATAACCACAGGTCATCCTGTGGGTGCGGGCAGCATTGAAGATAATCATTATGCAGCAACAATGGCGGATAAATTTGCCATGGACGGCGGTGGTAAAGCCCAAAGGCATTCGGCTTTTTATGAAGGTAGGTAAATAGAATTGTGCATTTTGAATACAAGTATGAATAAGAAAAAACACGTATAAAAGCTGTTAATTCGGCCATGCCGAACTTTGAATGCTCTCCAACATTTGGAATGAATTTGGCAATTTTCAAAAAATAAAAATCCTTTAATTTAATTCTGTTAAATACCGAATGTAGCCGTTATATAAGTGTCTATGCGACGACGTTGACCTGCATAGCCAACTTTTGTCATAAGCCATTACAATATTCAAATGCGAAACTTGAAAAAAAAAATCGGTGAATAATGTAGCTAAAATTGTCAAAATACCGAATATAGGGTGGTACCATTATATGGGAGCTATACCAAAACGTGGACCTGCACAGAAAATTTTCTGTCATAGGCTGTAGTATCCATCACGAACTTCAAGTACCAAATTTGAAACAATTCCGGTGAATAATGTCGGTAGAATCATCAAAATACCGAATATAGGGAGGTATCGTTATATGGGCGCTATACGAAGACGTGGACCTGCACAGGCAATCTTCTGTCATAGGCTGTAGTAATTTTTCACTGGGCAGCCCACGCTGGAGCAACATCGCTGAACACAGGCCTAATTATAGCCTTATATGAGGCCAAAATAAGGACTTGAGGTTCTTGTTTTAATTTTTCAAATTAATAAATAGCTATTGCTTGCGCTGACGGCTTGAACATGCTGTCGAATCGGGCCCCTAGGTTCATGATGTAGTTTGTGGTTGGAATTAAATGCTCATCGACTTGCAGTTGCAGTTATATTTTCATCTTCGCAGATCATGTTATTACGAATGTGGCCGTTGACATAGAGAGGCTTGAAAGAAGGCAACAAACTCCCCGAGATAGGTTTTTAACGTTACAATCATCTGTATACGTTACTATCTTTATGCCGACTGGACGGCAAAGATTGTCGGAAAGGTAGAGGTTGAAAAGTTTCGAATATATAACCCCATATATGGGCCGATGTTGACCACAAAAGGGGCAACATTTTGAATATCCAATTAACATCCAATTCCATTTAGACATGGAATATCTCAATATTTCCATCTTCACAAGATCTGTTGGAAAGATGGTAGAGATCGGACCATTCCTTCTGGTAACTCCCCCTCATATTTCACACATCCCATTATTTTTACTAACCCAAGGTCTGGTGTGAAGATGAAATATATCGGTCCCCTCCTTCTGGTAACTTCTCCACAAAGGGTCAACGTTTTGAATAACCAAAACGATTATAAAATCCGAAATTAGCATCCGATTCTGTTCATATTTCACACACCGCATTATTTCTACTAACACAAGATCTGCTGTGAAGATGGAATATATCGGTCCACTCCTTCTGGTACCTGCCCATTCCCTGCGAAGCGCTTGCTTGAGGTGATCGACACTTTGGTATTTTGCTTTCCAAAATACTCCAGACACAATAGTCCAACAGATTGGTATCCTTAGATTTTGGTGGCCATTGTGCGAGGAACCTCATTTTGTAACCATTATTGTGTGGCGCGTGCTGAGTCCTGTTGGTATGTCCAAGGTCTGCGGCCAAAATGTTTGCATGTCCACGGCTTTAATGCACCCTCCAGAATATTTTCGCGATAATATTCGGCATTTATTCTGATGCCACGGTCGATTAATACGAGCGGAGAGCAACCATCAGCTGTTTGGTGGCCCACACCATAACCCACGGCCCACGCTTGAGTTCTGGTGGCCAACCGAAGGTGCACATTTTCAGCTGACCTCTTTGGCAAGTAAACAACACGATCATTTTGTTTGTTTATAAACTGCCGGACAACAAATAATTTCTCATCGGAGAAAACCAAATTCGGCAGTTCACCACTATCGGCCAAGCTAAGCAGCTCTTTAGCTCTTTTGAGTCTTTTTTCTTTCTGTTGCGGTGTAAATTTTTACACTTTTTGGAATTTCAATGGCTTTACCCCGGGCTCATTTTTCAATATTTGCCGAATGGAAGATTGCGATATGTTCAACTCACAAGCCATTTTCGGCCACTGCGATACAGGTTTCGATCAAGTCGCTTCTTTACTTTTCGAATCATTTCTACTGATGTTGCTGTTTCCTTCCGTCCACTTCCTTGGCGTCGGGCTATGCTACCAGTATCAAAAAAAATTATTCACATTTAAATGCTGAAGTGCTCTAACGATAGCCACTTGGGGTTATCCAACCAAATACGCTTGAATAACTTTTTTCTGGAAAATTCTCACCAAAATGCTTTTGTAGGCTTGTAAACAATATAATGAGCTGTCACTGGAATAATTTTAACAGCTGTCGGACGAGTGACTTAGAAATGACAGCAGTCTGAAGTTGGTTGCAGTTTTTTTCATCTCACCTTGTATTGTACGAAATGTAAAATATTGGCCCTTTTCTTTGGAACCTATTCCATAAAGGGTCAACCATTTTGATAATCATAACAGAAGTCAAAAAATATTTAAACAATCGAACATTGACGGAGGGGGTATACATCTGTCGGTAGAACCTACAGATACTTTTTAACTTCTTTTAATGTAAAGAGTGATTTGTTAAGAGCTTGATAACTTTTTTTTAAAAAAAACGCATAAAATTTGCAAAATCTCATCGGTTCTTTATTTGAAACGTTAGATTGGTCCATGACATTTACTTTTTGAAGATAATTTCATTTAAATGTTGACCGCGGCTGCGTCTTAGGTGGTCCATTCGGAAAGTCCAATTTTGGGCAACTTTTTCGAGCATTTCGGCCGGAATAGCCCGAATTTCTTCGGAAATGTTGTCTTCCAAAGCTGGAATAGTTGCTGGCTTATTTCTGTAGACTTTAGACTTGACGTAGCCCCACAAAAAATAGTCTAAAGGCGTCAAATCGCATGATCTTGGTGGCCAACTTACCCGTCCATTTCTTAAGATGAATAGTTCTCCGAAGTTTTCCCTCAAAATGGCCATAGAATCGCGAGCTGTGTGGCATGTAGCGCCATCTTGTTGAAACCACATGTCAACCAAGTTCAGTTCTTCCATTTTTGCCAACAAAAAGTTTGTTAGCATCGAACGATAGCGATCGCCATTCACCGTAACGTTGCGTCCAACAGCATCTTTGAAAAAATACGGTCCAATGATTCCACCAGCGTACAAACCACACCAAACAGTGCATTTTTCGGGATGCATGGGCAGTTTATGAACGGCTTCTGGTTGCTCTTCACTCTAAATGCGGCAATTTTGCTTATTTACGTAGCCATTCAACCAGAAATGAGCCTCATCGCTGAACAAAATTTGTCGATAAAAACACATTTCGAACCGAACACTGATTTTGGTAATAAAATTCAATGATTTGCAAGCGTTGCTCGTTAGTAAGTCTATTCATGATGAAATGTCAAAGCATACTGAGCATCTTTCTCTTTGACACCATGTCTGAAATTCCACGTGATCTGTCAAATACTAATGCATGAAAATCCTAACCTCAAAAAAATCACCCTTTATATATAAAAATATAATTTATATTAAAAGACCCTTTGACTTTTTATGAAGACTATTTTTTTTCCTTTAAAGGAACACCATTTGAACGTCTTTAGTAAGACAATTTGGCAAAGCCTTTGGCTGGCCTCATATAAGAAACCTTTGGGTCACAGAATTTTATTTATTTTTTTTTTAATAATTTCGATGCTAAATCAATCAATTGACTTTCTCCGTTTTTTTTTTCTGCCATCTAGACAATATGCCAACTGACAGTAACATGGAATTAAATGAAATGCAAGATGTCAAGGATACAAACGATGTTAAATCATCCAAATCATGTCCAGCTATTTATAAAATTTCCAAACAACGTGATGGCACCACATTGCATGAGCTGCTGACAGAGGATTTGAAAAAGGGACTGCGTTTAAATGTTCCCACCAATGTAGAGGAGACCGAAACTGAGACACCGCTACACCACAAGCCAATTATGGAAGATAAACTTAATATAATTTTAGATGAAAATGGTAAATCCATACTTGTTAATGCTATGGCTGCTGCTACGGCTGCCGCTGCTCCAGCAACAAAAGACCCTAGCAGTAGATCAGCTGAAAAACCTGAAACAACAACATCATCAGTAGCTGTTGCCAATAGATTTATGCATAATAATTTAGAATCAACACAACCACAACAACAACAACAAAATCTGTGTGATACAACAAATGTACCCTATGATTCACTTAGTTCAGGCTTTGGTAGTTCAAACAATGCAGATGATAATAGTGAAAATCGCACCAGCTCCACTGCTTCACCATCGGCATCATCATCATCGATTATGCCATCATCCTCGACTACCTCGACTTCATCATCGGCATCTGGATCATCGAATTCATCATCGGGTAACTCATCATATCCAACAAATAATTCTTCTCCCCCAACTTCACCGTGTTAAAATTTAGTGTAGCTCTATTATTTCTTGTTTCTTTCTTTGTAGAATAATTATTCTTCTTTGTTTTCTGTTATCCCTGGGCTTTTGTCCCATACTTTTACTTTCAGCCTCACTCCCCCTAAAAGGGCTCAATTTTATAGTCTTTGAACACTGGAAGCAAAATTTCCCCACATTGGAATTTCTCATTAAATCAAGGAAGGAAAAAATGTTTGCTTGCCGGGCTATATAAAAACTACTTTTCCAAATGGGCTTCCTCAGGAAGTCTTTGGGGTCCTCCCTTTAGATGAAGCTTTCTTTGGCTCTATTGAGGATTTTACATTTGTTTCCATATGAACTCCAGATAAGCTTATTTTTAATATTACAAAACTTTACCATAACAAATTCTGCAAACGATCACAATATTACAGAAAGAATAGAACACATCCTTTCTATAACTGTCATAAGGAAGTACAAAGTTAAAAAAAAGACTTCCATAGCATTTCTGGATTTTCGAATTTTTGTACGTTTTTTTTCCACTTGACTATTAGTACAAATGTTGGGTTTGGAATTCCCACAACCCTAAAAAAGTTTTGTGTTTGGAGTTTTATGGCCCGTTTAACATTACTACAAATCCAATCCTGGATATTAAATTTTCATAGACCTAAAATTGAGCCCCTAATCTATTTCCCTTCCATTTATTCTTATCCACTTAATAACCCCCCCTTTATTTCTAGATGTAATCACATGAGAGATAAAGAAAAAAAAACAAACAAAGAGATTGGTTTCTGTTTTCAAAAAGAGAAAAAAAAAATATTATTGGAGTTCAATGTATTTTATAAGTATAACACTTATGTATTTAAATCTTATAACAGATTATGCCAGAAACAACAACAACAAAAACAAAAGATGTAGAATTGTTTTCATAAAAGAGAAAAAAAAATAATTATTAAAAATGTTTATGAATAAAAATCGTATATAAAATTATAAAGAAGAGAAAATATGTAAAACAAACAAAAATCAAACAATACATATACATATATATGATTATTATTTATTGATATATTGCTGTAATGGACATCAACGTTTTGGAGAACATTTCAAATCCGGCTGGGGTTTACAAATATTTACTTTACATTTTTACGATGTATATGGGAGAGGGAAAAAATTTGTCGCGCAAGTTGTAACAGATACTTTGCCTTTTTTAAGTAGAAAATTTTGAATAAACATATGATTTGGAATCATTTTTGTAGAAAATTTTGTGGAAATAGATTTTGTTGTTTGTAAACCTAAGTCGGGTTAATGGATTTTTTTAAATACCAGTTGCTCAATTCTTTTTCTATGAAAATGTGAAATGAAAACTTTTATAAAGGAAAGAAATTCAAATGAAAATTTTATAAAGGAAATATTTTTCATTTCATATTTTCATAGAACAAGAATTGAGGCCCAGGGGCTGGATTCTTATTCTATGAAAATATGAAATGAAAAATATTTCCTTTATACATTTTTTTTTCATTTGACATTTCTTTCCTTTACAAAAGTTTTCATTTCACATTTTCATAGAACAAGAATTGAGACCCAGGTGTGATACATGTTTTTTTCTTTATTTGGGGAATTTTTGTAAACTCTATACCAATTTTAAATAATAGCATTTCAAGTTGACTTTTCAAAGCCACCTTTAGAATTTTAATATTGTATTAAATACTCATTTTTGTAAGGAACTCATTTAGGTCATTGAGAGGCAGACCGCTTTACTTATGTAAGACCATTTTACTTTTATAAGAACCTTTTATTAATTTCATTTAGCCTTCCATAAGCATACCATTTGGTCTTCTAGCAGAAGATAAGTGTGAATTCTGCCAGCATTTGATTTTACATAAAAAATGGTAAAATTTGTTTCCCATAAGAAAACAATTGAAGCTTTTACAAACAGGCATTGTATAAAAATACCCATTTTGAATTGTATGGGAAGGCTATTTGGTAAAAGGTTGTCTGCTCTTCTGTATTAATACTATTTTCTGTTAGAAGATAATTTTACATTCTCTGGTACGCAGAACTTTATCTTTATAAGAGCATTCTATGTTAATTTAATTTAGCCTTACATTGGCATATCATTTGTTCTTTTAGCAGAAGATAAGTGTGAGTTCTACCAGTATTTGGTATTCTATAAGCAAAAGTGGATTTAATATAAGAGCACAATTGGAACTGCTATAAGCAGACCCTTTTGCCCTCTATGAGAAAACCAATTGTGAATTCTATGGAAAGATAAAATGGTCTTCTATAAAAAGGTATAGAATACCATTTTGACTTCCATAAGAAATCTATATTTGCCTTTTCCAAGAAGTTACTTTACTAAAAGACAATTTGAATTCCTATAATCAGACCTATCGACAAGTTTGACTTCTACCAGGATTTGGTCTTCTTTACGCCAAAAATTGGTTTAATATAAGAACACAAATGGAACTGCCATAAGCAAGCCCTCTATAAGATCAATTCTGAGTTGTATGGAAACCATTTGATTTTCTTATTGAAAGGTCATTTGCTCTCCGACTAGATTACCATTTCACGTTCTTTTAGAAATCTATATTTGCCTTTTGCTAGAAGATAATTTTGTACTTCTGCGAAAAGACAATTTGAATTCCATTTGGCTGGACTTTAACACGCAAACCATTTGGCATTTTAATGAGCCATCTACAAGAAAACCAATTTAGATTTTTATAAGAAGACCATTCAGTCTTCCATGGGATTATTTGTTTGCTTATAAAGAACATTTTGTGGAAGACCATTTAATAGTCCATAGTAAGACATTTCGGTAAAAACTCTGGTCTTCTACAGAATGGTACTCTTCTCTTCTACAAGAATACCATTTTGTTTTATTAATTTTGCTTTCTGTAAGTAAATTAACTTGGACTTCGTTAAATGGAACATTTGGCCTGCTACAAGCCATCTAAACATAAAACAATATGGGCTCCTATGGGAACACCATTTGGTATTCTATGGAAATACCATTTGGACTTCAACACGCAAACCATTTGGCATTTTAATGAGCCATCTACAAGAAGACTAATTCAGATTTTTACAAGAAGACCATTCAGTTTTCCATGGGATTATTTGTTTGCCTACATCTATTGGTAAACCACTTGCCACATATTTGGACCCCTTTGGACCTCTATAGAGAGCCGTTGGTCTTTTATAAGAAAATAATTTGCTTTTTTGCAATGGCATTTTTGGCGAATTTTGAAAGTTTTGGAGTTTTCACTACAGATAGCAAGCTAGGAGACATTTTTTAGTCAGCAATACATTTTTCTAATTGCCCGCATCCTGAACTACTGTAGCAGAGACTATTTGAACTTCTTACAAGAAAATCATTTGGTCTTTTAGATTCTTTTAGAAGAAGACAATTTGGCCTATTCTTTGGGCACATATAAGCAGCCCTTTGGAACGATTTTACCTTTCTGCAAGAGATATCTCAAAATTCATGTTTACCAATGGTGTGGAGTTTATAATAAACCGCCGCATTGAATGATTTCAAAACATTTTGTTTTTAGATTTCTTCATAGATTTCTATTCCATAAATTCTTCCCTCCCACTCCATTGAGCTTTATCATTCTCCACACAAATTATAACGAACATCAAGCTTATTATTACAGTAGATTGTCTTGTTTTTTAAGTGCAAAGACACAATTTTTAACTGAGGACAAAGTGATAAATAAACATATTTCTGAATTCGTGTCGATTTGTCAAGAAGTGGAAATTTGGTCATTTGTTGATTCTATAAAAATTTCATTAAAATAATAAATGACTTATTCCGCCCATGTTAAAAAGGGTCCTTAGACTCCTGTGCAATACACTTTCTGGCCATTCGGGTAAACTTTCCATTAAATTGTCCCTTTTATTTGGCCTAAAATCGGGTTATTGGGAGCTCACCTATTCGATGATCACAGAGCACATAACAATCCGTTTATAAATAAAAACATGATGGCTCTACTTAAACAACTAATACAGAGTTTTAATTTTGACAAAACGATTGGAGATTCGAATTCAGCATGTGAATAGACATTAACATCAGTTATCTAGCTTCAATTTTTTATAAACTTGTGTGTAAAATTATTGATTGTAGCAAAACAAAACAAAAAGATAAAAAACTAAACAAAAAACAAACAATTTCTATAGAAAAAAAAAATTGAAAAAAAAACAATTTTACAAAAAATGCGCTCCTGTTTTTTTAAAACATGCTATCATACAGTATAACAAACAAAACAAAACCCCCCCTAATATAAGTACGTATGATGTATATCATTTTGATTAATTTATGTAGATGAAAAAAAAAAAACACAAACAAATAAACGAAACGTTTTTAACAGAAAAAGATAATTATACAAATATATGAATATATTGAGAAAAAAAAGAAACAAATAAAGAAAATTGTCCTTTCCCCCTAAATTCCCTTTCCTATCACTACTCCCCCGCCCTCTAACTATGTGATACTGCAGAAACACCTTTCACATTCTGCAAGTTCACCTTTCACAAAAGTAAAACAAAAAAAAAACAAACGAAACAAATATTCTATCAAATGGAAATCTAAACAAATCATTAAATAAATTAACAAAAAACATTAAATGGAAAACAAAATATACATAAATACATACAAACATCATGTGTCTGATAAATGAAATTTAAAAACAATAAATTAATTAATAAAACACACACACACATACCACATAAATTATTAGAATTGTGTTTTATTTAACACCTGTTAACCTGGAAGGCTGGGCCGGGCTATTTTGAATCAGCAAAAACTTGGGAGCTGAATAATCCATCAAAAGGTAATGTAAACAAAGTAACATTTACATTACCACACCTTTTCTGTTTGTAATCCTTTTCTAATTGTAATCTAATTGTTATTCGAAAATTCGATTTATTTCAGTTGAAATTCAAGAATTCTAATTGTAATTCGAATTATTCCAATTGTAATTCGAAATATTACCTTTGTAATTCGCATTTTTTTTTCTAATTGAAAAAATGATGGGTCATTTGGTTGATTTGGTAGTAGTAACGATTGACAAAAATTTATAGGAAACCCATAATGTATGTTTTTGAAGCATTACGAGAATAAGACCGAAAAAAATGTACGGGCCGACCTTTTTTACTTTTTCGATGTATAGACATGATTGTACCAGACATCTTCAGCCTGACTGATAAAAAAATCTTACCCAATAAACGTTGAACCTACTGGAAATGGGCAAGTAATATACGGATAAATCGGCAAATTCCACAATGCCGTCCAAAGTTGAAAACTAGAAAGACGATCTCTAGGTGAAAGGATACGTCCACTCGCAAAGTATAACATTAAGCATATGCCAACGAAGCTACAACATCGTGTGGGGGTCTGTATCGAATGCTGAACATACGTTTTATACATTGGGCGACAAACGAATTGAGACGACTTCACCATCCCAAACGTAGTTAGGCCAAAACTGCCCTGGTATGTCTAGGCAGGCGACTTTCTTCACACTTAATTGTTTAAAAACATCGTTGACTGGATCAGTATCAAACCTTCCTGAAAGGCTTGTCGATCTAATGAATCTCTCTAATATCGCGTCTGAGCGGTCGACTTGAACAAGCTGTTGAATGGAAATCTTGTCTGGTATTAAATGTCCCTCAAGCTACACATTTAGCTGTGTCCTCATCTCTTCATGCCATGCCACACTGACAAAGTGGCGGATATTTTTCTATATTCTTCGCTAGGAAAAAGAAAACAAGATCCGTGATATAGTTGTTCATTTGTAAATAATCAACGACGCCTGACATAGAATACTGAAAAGGTAGAGGTTTGTCATGTGGAGAATCCCATATAACCGTGAGAGTGTTGGATTCTTGTTTCGGTATTCCACATATAGCATTTTCAGATTAAATGAAACCTTTTGCAGCGGAAATGAAACCTTTTGCAGTGGAAATGAAACCTTTTGGAAATCAAATAAAACTTTTAGATTTATAGAAGGAAAAATTACAAAAAAAATTCTTTTTAGTAGGTTTAAAATTAAATCAACTAATTATAACTAATATATAGTCAAAGAGGCATTTTTATTGATCATTAATATCTATTATTAATTTATTTCTTAAATTTTTAGCTTCTATAAAAAAAGTTTAAAAATGTTTTTTAAGGTCTTTCCTCCAAAAGACCTGAATTAGACACCTTTTTATAACCTCCTCCATGGAAAGGAGGGTATATTAAATTTGTCATTCCGTTTGTAATACCTCTAAATATTCGTCGTAGACCCCATAAAGCATATACAATCATGATCAAAGTTGATTAAATGATGTCCACCCGTCTGTCTATAGAAATCACGATATTGAGATTTGATGAAGAGCTTAGAAAATTGGCACAACATTTAATTGTGTCTAGGATGTATGGTATTGAAATCCATAATCTCCATAATCAATAAAGCTGCGAAGCTGGAATCCTTAATTAGGTAAGATTAATAGTACACTATAACTATAAAACATTGCAGTCCTGCCCATACCTATAAAGGCCAGAATTTGTTTAAATTTCTCTTTTTAGCGTTGAGCTTATAGAAATTCAATAATATGGAAATATTTTATATCAAATCAATAAAGAACCATTTGGTTTTACAATAATGGAAAAATGTGTTAGTATTTTCCTTCTATAAAATCTAAAAGTTTCATTTGATTTGCAAAAAGTTTCATTTGATTTGCAAAAAGTTTCATTTTCGGTTGCGAAAGGTTTCATTTCCGCTGCAATAAGTTTAATTTCAATTGCAAAAGGTTTCATTTAATCTGAAAATGCTATATAATTATCCAAATATTCAAACTGGAGTGGAACTGGAGTGTAGTTCCCTCGCCCCCTTAACCAGCGCAGCAGTGTTAACTTTATAAAACGCCTCTGTTAAGAGCTACAAATATAGTGGGTATGGCGTGAAATCCCGGTGTTGTTGATCATGAGCATCTAATGATGGGAAGGAGTAAAGTCTCAAGAATCTGTAAAATTACAGACTTCGAGAAAAATATGTGTTGTTGGCGACATATTTTGTGAGCGATTTATCCGTTAAAATTTGCAAAACTTCAGACGGTAAATCCCGTTTTTATACGGATAACGGATAATCCGATTTTGCTCCAACGTTGCGAATCCTAATATTTGCGTCAGTGCTAGGTCATAGTTAAAACATAACAAAAACAAGTAAGCAAAGGCTACAGACGAGCGGGGTCGCCGACCGTTGAATACCCTACAACACTATGATAAGCGATACAGTTTATATAAGCGAGATACTCGAAAGAATTCCACAAGATATTGTGACAAATAATAAAAGAAAACCATCAGGTTTCGTTCTCTAATTTTCGAATAATAGCAACTTAAACTAATTTGCTCATTTCCAATTTATTGGTAGATTTTGCACTTAAATGGTCTTCCTAGATCTGGAACCAATATTTCCAGATATCTCTCAGAAGTGGCAAAAGATTAACATTTATTATTGGTTTTTGACTGAAACGCATCTATATAAGATACAGACATTTGACTATATTCTTCAACGAAATCAGCGTTAACGAAATAGTCAGAAGTGTGTCTTTCCTGTATTTGTGAATTCTCCTAAAAGTCACTGGAATGGACATTTTCGTATTTTGTGTACAAAAGTTGGCAAACTATTTCACAAATTGAATATTTTTGGATGGCCATCCAAAACTGCTTGACTTTTGCAATGTCCGGTAACCCCCATTCAAATGTGCGTGAGGATCGGGCGATAATTACGACCTGCCGACAATTTTGCAGTTTTTTTGGTCCATTTCAACCCCTAAATATATGGCGATCATCTCCAAAAAGAGTAGGCTTCTATTCTGACCCTCATCTTATCCCCATGCAAAATTTCGTATGGATCGGGCCATAAATTCGATCTGTATATGATATCCTGATATACTAACTACTTAGTTTTGTTAGCTGTAGAAATATTACCAAATGTTTAATTCAAAATGAAAACATGCCAAAAATATGACAAAATTGAAAAAATATGAGAAAATGTTACAAAATCAATATTTTCATCTTTAGAGAGATATTTTTATGCGATTTTTTTAGACGTTTTTTGTTTCCTGTCAAGAGGCCATTCTGAATTAATGAGAACTGTCGAAATCAGTTCAGCCGTTCTCGACATATAAGAGATCTTTCAAGCATATCTTCTTTGATAGACATATATATCGCACATATTTTGCTATTTATCCGATTTGTTGGATGTTAACATCAATGTAAAGGTCAGAAGTAACCTTGTAATGGCTTTATGATTTTGCCGGGATTTAAAATATGCACGGTTGAATGAAAAATTTTGAATTTTTTCAACATAAAAGATATGGTCTATTTTACCCGCTAAATATTATCCGATGACCACCCAAATTGGTAGGCTTCTTCCCCGCCCTAAACGCGTCGATTGGTCTATAATTGCGACCTGTATAGCTACTGCAAAATTCGACATTTTTCAGTATTTGGTCCATTTCAACCCCTAAACATTTGGCGATCATCTCCAAAAGAAATAGGCTTCTATTCTGACCCTAACCCCACCTTCGTGCAAAATTTCGTTAGGATCGGGCCATAATTGCGACCTGTAGCGTGATTACAAATTAACATGGACAGACGGACGGACGGACATACATAGCTAGATCGACTCAGCTCGGCGAGCTAGGAAGATCCATATATACTTTCCTATATGGGAAACCAATATTTCGTGGTGTTACATAATTTTTGGCCCAATCAAACTTATAATACCCCCAAAACATAGTGTTGTAGGGTATAAAAATTAATTATTATATTATTAAATTAAAAATTAATTGATCTGTCGGAGAAATAAGGGCAAATTTTGTTAACTCTACCTTTTCACAGAAAAAAACTGTATTTTTTTTACTACCTAGTATAAATAGTCAGTTGGTATAAAGAGAAACAATCTCTAAATGGGCCACTTGTGTTTCTTTAAAAATTATTTTAAAATCGATTAATTTATCTACAGTATAATTACTTACCTCAATATCGGTTAAAACAAAAACACACTTTTTAAAAAATGCATGTCCAAATTTATTTAATAATTTATATTTTGCCTATTCCTAGATGATGACAATTATCATGTGGATTGTACTTTAATAACTAAAAGTAAACAAATATTAATCTTTTTGGTTAGGAGTTTTTGTTTCTTCGTCTACCTCTCTCGATTTGTCAATTACAACAACATGGAATCGTTCCACACAATCACACGCCCGCACACACCCTCAATATTTGCTGGATGTGAACGATGCTCAAACTTTAATTACTCAATTTCCGACTACGTATCATAGACATAACTTGCCAACGGATAACGTATCACAAATGCCACAATGGAACACAGCACCTGTACACCCATCAGCATTTGTGTCACCACACGCTCGTGCACCGGACCAAAGACCACCAACACAAAGTTGATCAATGTGAAATTATTCGTTATTACCCGACCGTCCGGCATCTCCTGCCATGTGATCAATTTGAATGTCTTGAGAACGGTGACCATGAGTTTTCCCAAAATGTTTAGTTCATCTTTTCGAAATTCTGTTGTACTTATGTGCAGGAGATCCGTTTGTGGATCGTATTTGGGCAAACGATGTCGCGGGCAGGGTACAAATTTGAAGAGTTGTGGTATGGAATAGAGGAAATTTATGATTTGTGGTAGGAAGAAGAGAATTAAAGTTTTACTGAAGTGGCCCAAAATGCCGACAACGGCAAATGTCATGCCGGCGAAATAGCAGAATGTGTCACCGACAAACACCTGCGAGGGATATCTGTAAAGACAAAAGAAAAAAACACTTTCATGGTGGAGAGTATACAAATACTAGTATTAAATAGAAACATGCCAGTAGGAAGGAGATCTTTTCCCAGGCTCAAGAAGGAAACAAAATGTAAATATGGTAGTTTTTCGTTAAAGGATTTATTTGTTCAATTTAAATAAGACAAATTGTTGTTTTACAATAATCACTTAAATTAGCGATTAAGGCGTACATACGACATTCAATTGCTTATATTTGTAGACAATAATGGGTAAATAATTGAATTGAAATAATTTACTAATTCGCTAAGTCGTTGCGAGCCAAGGAAGCGGGTTCAGATGTTATTTCGGAACAATCTGAATTATTTCCCTTTTTCCATCGACTTGTAGCAGCGAATGTGAGTTTTGGTGTTGAAAATAACAAATGCTTTTGACTAAATAACATAAAATACTATATATAACAAATCGGAAAATAAATTCTTAGATCATAATGACGATTTTATCTAAAAATTATCTAGTCTAGTTGTGGCTGATAGGGAAGGATATAAACATATTTTTGCAGGTATTTTTATCAAAATAATATTCAATCTGTTTGCGGGTTGTGTCATATTTTCGTTATATCACAGCTGTTTTTTTTTCTGTTATCGTTTTCATTTACAATCTTTATTTTCTCTCTCTCTTTCGTTTATTTCCGTTCGCATTGAGTCTATGGTAATTAGGTTGGTTTTTTTTTGTTGTTTGTTTTCTATGGAATAAACTTGGGAAACATCAGCCATCGGATGAATTTTGAAAATTTTTTGAAAACTTAATTCCACTTCTGTCATTTACAAAATTGCATGACCGTAAGCTGAGCCAATGTTTTCCCAAGTCAGTTGATTGGTATTCGATATTTTTTCGGAAGTTACTTTTTGGTGATGGATACCTCTGATTGATTGGTCCTATTGTGTGTTTTTATTTAAATTTCTTTGGTTTGGTTGTGTATTCTTATGAATTGGATTTAGCAAAAGTAATGACACAAGTTAAATAAAATCATTTTTAAAAACTAAAAACAATAAAAAAAGATCGACATTAAAAAGGGAATGGGGTATTAAAGCAAAGATGACATGGCAAAGAACACTTTTATTCCTCCATATTTTTAAACTTTTAATTAGTTACGCAAGATGCGTACCAATAAAAACTTAGTTGGGTATTTGGCAGGACAATTGTTCTGGTTTAGCCCTCGACTAATGTGGTTGAATATGTATAGCTTCCTGGGAAGGAGACCCAAGAGACTTCGCTATTGGCGATAAAAACGAAATTGGCCTGTATGACTCAGCTTTGCTAGCATCTTTTAGCTGCGGGACCACCCAACCCATTTTCTTTCCAGGTTATAGGGACGATGTGGGTGTCAAGCGACTGGTAAATGACTTTTGTCGGTTATTCATCTTCTGTTTCAACATTACTATTGTGATTCCATCCGGGACCAATGCTTTGTATGATTTAGAGTTACGGGTGACATTTGTCACATCATCCGTCGTAAATAAAAAACCAGAGCACCACTTCCAATCAGGCATTGTTATGTCGTTAAATGTGACTGCGGTTCTATCATCCTGCAATTTATCCTGTACCAACTGGATGATCTCCAATGTGAATTAACTGTCTCTGGGATCAATAAGTTTAGCACGCCGAACTTATCACGCTCATTCGACAACCACATGTCTCTGCTCGGGCATTCAACCAACAAGTATGTACATAGAGAGCGGCTACCGATCATCAAAACAGTTTGGCAGTTCTCAGAAGCTACAATTGATAATCTTTTAAAATGGCTAAACATAGGGAAGGTAGGTCCGACATTTTTCACGAAAAGATTTTGCTTTTTGAAACTTCAACTAAATACCCTTCAATAAATTTCTAACTTATGTGTTCTCTTTTGCCATCGTATCTAAATAAAAACAAAAATTTTAAGGCCAATTTAGGGTTTTGGTAATGCTCCTACATACCAAGGTTATTTTAACATACATACATGAAAATAAATAAATATGACATCTGCTTATGCTTAAAAATTACATATATAAATTTCAATTTTACGATATTAGTAACATTCGAAGAAGATGATTTTTCATGAATATATAATGTTGGGGGAAAACTGAGTATTATAAGTCTTCCATTTCGTTATATATTTAATTCATATACATTCGGATGATTTTAGTTTAATTTCCTTATGAGTGATATGTGATGAGATAAGATTTTAATCAAAAAGCGATATAAGCCAAAAATTTCGGTGTGACTCTAAATAGAAGGCGATATACACACAGAAGAGCATTTCGAATATTTTGTGAAGTTCATTTAAAAATTGATAGAATTAAAATGAGTTACTGACAATCGTTTTTAGTTCGAAAACTCATATTTTTCTTAAATTAGGTTCAATTAAACTTTGCAGAAACAGACCGGTTTCTACAAGGTGTACACTTAGTGGCTCTCGACTTAATAAAGTTTCTATATTTGTTGCATATCGCCTTTATTTGTTGTCAAAACTAACAATTTTGATTTTACAAAAATAATCGAATAATGATTGATAATGTTTTTGTTTTAAACTTTTATGTTAAGGTAATTTCAATGACTTGTTGTTGTTTTTTTTTTAATTAGCAGGCACAATGAATAAATTACATAATGATGATATTGTTGTTGTTTGTTTCTGTTTTTCATAATAAATTATCTTAATTTAATTATTAATTACAAATTCGTTTAATGAATTCCTTATTAGAGTTACATTCAATAATAATTGCATTACAAATTCGTTTAAGGAACCTTTTTCTATAAGATTAGATTTTTTCGCTATTCTAAACAAAGATATTTTTAATATTTTCTTAAATTAAACTAACAATTCTTTGGAAAAAAAATACAAAAATTGTTTTAGTTTTGAAGTCCACAGCGTGATTTTTTTTTTTTTGAGAATGCATTCTACTCCCTCTCTCTCTTTTACCTCTTGCTCTTACCAAATGCACACAAATCAATATTAATAAATCTTTGTCCTATATCAATAAACCTTTGGCCTAGAATAATCTAATAAAATATAGTCTTCGGAAATAGGGGACCAGTGGGGCAGTCATGTCCAAATTAACCCTAGTTCAGAGATTCGCGTCCTTACTGACAACCGGAGCTCTCAACAGCACTCCCCAATCTACCTGAATATGCTGCTAAACTTCCAGGCGCAGCATATTTTGGCACAATTCAACAGGAAAAGAACTATGCAATGGAATAGCAGGATCAGTGCCTATATATGTCGATAGTAAAGCGGTTTTTAAAGTTATAAGGTCAAGTGCCATTAAATCTAGAGCCAGTCTTGACTGCAAGAAAGCCCTCCCTGAAATATGTGGACTCATTAAGTGGCTGATGTATTATGATATTAGCTCCAGGCGGATCCCAGTCGATTAATATACCGATTGATGAGATTGTTAAACCACCAATAAGCTATTACATTAGCTGCACTTGGAAACCGGTTGTAGGGTATCTGATCTACCTTTAAGGACGAATCTTTCTTATGAATCGATAATATTTCGGTAGCGGTATGAGGACCAAAGACCAGTTTTCTCGTACTCTCCCGTCATTTGAGATCCGATGCGCGAAAGCCCGATAGATGTAAATTACATTAATAATTGTGAACAGTCTGGGAGAGTTTTGAGTTCAAATACTCGAGTATGTATTCAAATACCCAAGGACCGACGAGTCAAAATATGGAGCCCATAAATCAATCAAACAATCTGGCCTATTCCTTAATGGGACTGCATTACACACAAAATTCCTTAATTAGGCAACCTAACGCAATTACAATTCTTCTCGTTTACACAATTGTCCCCCTAAAAATGTATTGCTTCGTTCTGTTCTAGTATTTACATAACACATTTTTTTTTTAAATAATCCTTAAAAATGTACTCACTATCCACACTTAAATTCTACTACTAAAACATTTCATCTTCGTTATCATCGGCCAAGACATCATCTAATGATTCATAGATATTTACCAACAAATGACCATATTTCCAACTTTGTTGTACAGCATAGCTGGGTGCAAAATACTTATCAGCAAAACGACGAACTTTGACCAGACCGGTTTGGCCATCGTTCAAATAGAGGCCCGATGAAATCAGTTGTTGCACATAGGCCGAATCGATGTGAAGTGAGTGTTTTTTATCCTTGGGAAATGTTATGACATTTTCAATAGCCTGCAACTGATCTGATCTATGACTATTGTTCCCGCTCGCCTGCTGTGTTAATTGTTGCAATTCCATTATAATTTCATCGGGTTCTTGACAGTATTTACAATACCAACCACCAAAATGATTTAAATCTCCAATGACAAGTATCTCCTCCTGTCCAGTGGTGGTTCCGCGTCGTTGTAGTGCCTTCAAATGCGAGGGATCGGAATTGGAGTTATCCACCTGCTGGAATGAACTGATCATACCATCAAGTTTGGTTAGATCTGGATGTTGCCAAAAGAATCCATATATAATGAATTTTAAACGGAACACAATTAAAGGTACATTGGAACTGTAGTATTTGAAAAATGTCAAGGCCCGGTGACCCAATATGGTTTGATCATTACTATAGATGAATAGATCTGTTGGCTTGATGGCATTACTTAAGAGTTGTTGCTGCCTAAACAGTCGATACACATCGGCCGAGGAACAGTTACTCGCCGAGGGCAGCCTACAATGGTACAGTAGATAATTGTGTTCGGGTAACATTTGCTTCAGTTTGAATTTAAGGGTTTTCAGGTGTTTCATATTTACAGGTGTCTGTTGTCTATAATGTATTATAAAATAGTCCACAACCTTTATGACGGCTTGTATTTGCAATTCCAATAGATCCATGCTAATAAAATGACCCTCTATCATATACACTAAACGGTGGGCTTCAGCCTGGGTGGGATTTTGTAGTTTGAAAGCGTTTTTGGCTGTCATCAGGGCCCTCCATATCACTTCAGGCTGGCCACAATCTTGGCCATGCCACTGCGGCATGCAGGAACAATTATCGGGCCATGTATCGTTGACATCATCATCGGCTGCTGCTCCTTTTGTATCATTTGAAGTGCCTTCCTTGAAACACCACAATGATGGTTCACCAAACATTAGTTTTTCGGCATCTGTTAGGTTATACCTTGCCTTTTGCAATTCAAAGTCCTGCTGGAACTTTAAATCTCTTGAAGACCATTGAAAATTTGACTTTCTTTGACTTTCTCTGCTCAAACTATTCGTGTTGTCCTTTAAGGATTCTGCAGGTCTTATGAAATTGATACGTCCATGCCCATCTTGTGTTGGTTTGACCAACGTCAGTCCTGTACTCTCTTTAAGGCGACCACTTAAACCCAATTGCATTAACCAAAAACATAAAATAAAGCCAAACTGTATTAACAATATCGTCCAGAGGAAGAAACGTTTTGTCCTCTTAGTAATTGAGTGATGATAATGATGTTGGTGTTGTTGCTGTTGTTCTTTCTGTTGCAGCTGCTGGCCAACTGCCCCAACTGCCGTCAGAGGGGTAGTGAACGAGGGTTGCTTGATTAACTGCATTGTGTCTTTGTATCTGGTATCTGCAGCCAAATCACACCCATTTGGATGGTGGTGACTGGAACCCAGACGTAAATGCATTTAGCTCTGGTATACTGGATACTATTCTACAGAAATTTACATTTTTCAAACAGATAATTTGCACTACAAATCGATTTTATGTTGAATTATTTTTCTCAAGCAGCACACACCCAAATGTAGACGGGACAGCAGTCATGCCAGCGAAAAAGGAAACTTTTTTCTACGTTTTATTCATGTTCTTTCTTTAGGCAACGAAGTTTTTTCTGTTTGCCCGACCAAGCCAGCTCGTTGTGTGCGATGGTGTTTCTTTTTTCTCTTGTTTAGCTCAGTTGTATCTTCTTTCTTCGTCATCGTCGTCTGAGTCGTCATATGGTTAAAAATAGGGATGGGGATGGTGGTGGTGGTGCAGAGGTTGTTTGTCTCAACAGCAGTTGGGGGTCGTTTTTATATCGGAGGACAATATGATGATGACTCTAATCATCTGGTGTGCGGGGGTGGGGTGACAAAGTGTATATCATTTGTTTGTGACTTTTGACAACTCTCAGCTGAGTTTCATTGCAATAAACAGCTGATTTCTGTTTATTTTGTCCGAAAAAGACACCCTTAATTTTTGTTTATATTTATTGAAGAATTCACATTGCATTTTTTTGTTTGTTTTTGCATGATTTCTCAACATATGATTTTGACAGATACCAAAGGAAGAGAGAGAGAGAGAGCATGGAATATGAGTGCAATGAAGCAGCACAGTGTTTCTACTCGGGTCAAGTTCAGATAAGTAAGATTAAGATTTGCCATAATTCACTTGCAAATTTAATTTCCAATTAAGAAACAAACGATAAGATTATTAGATCTGGAATCAATATTTTTAACTGCTTACGATCTTTAAAAAATTTAAGCATCGGTAGCTGACGCAATATGCGCAACAATATAATTTGCTCCAGCAAAACGATCACAACTTTTCCATTCAAAACTTATTTTTTTTTTTTGAAGTAACGATATCTGTAGCATAATGAAAATTCTATATATGTATGGCCCCATGTTATTAGGTAAAGCCACGAGATCATATACAATTTCAATTGTCCTACATTTAAGCCCTCTATCCCAAACAAATATATTTGAATTGTGGAAGGTGTTGGCGCTGTTCTAAGCTCTAATCATGGTTTATAATTGTTACCAAAAATTATACACTTTTATTCTGAACCTAGCCCTAACTCCATGCAAAATTTCGTCCTGACTTAGCCTTAACTATGCCAAATCTGCAATGATCTGTCATATTGCTTTCTGCTGTCTTTAACTAATTCAATAGTTAGAGCATTGTCTGCTCCCAAGCTTCCCTTTCGCTTCGTGATCCGCGTCCGAGTCCCATTTTAAGGTCATATTTTGTATAGGTGTTGTTGTTGTAGCAGCTCATACTGCTGTTTTCGTTCTGACTCCCCTCAATCGGGTTCTTCTAAGTCTAGTCTCAAAAAGGGGTAGGTTTGTCCGGGCAGCGAAATAGGTGCAGCGTGCCATGTGGATCTGTGTCACAAGCCGGGTAAATGTTCTGCACATCTCTGTCAAACCAGACCCAATAGGAATTGATCTTAACTGTGATAAATCTACACGAATTTGTCGGGGCAGCTCTCGCTCTTCAGCTGCGATTGGTGGGCGATGGTCTCCTAGACAGCGTCAGAGTGACTACTATTCAGTCCTGCTTGATAGTCCAGTTGAAATAGAGGCTCTCTCATATACCTTTGCATCTCTCTCTCTCTAGATCATGAAGGTCTTTGGGCAGCGATTGCCTATCCACCAGATGGTGATTCGGATGGCTCTGTATGTAACACTCAAGCAGGTATTGCATTGACAGAATTTTATTATGCTGTCGCACCGGTAAGTCCTTCGCCTGTTCGAAGGGCGGCATTCTGGCAGGACTGAGTATTTTTCCCACGAATTGACTCGAAGGAACAAACCTTCGAACAGGGGCCCAGTACAGCTACAAATGGTTTGTTTGATGTTCGCTAATCCGGGTGCAAAAATACCTTCGCAGGCTATGACTAAAGATCTTCTGGAGTGTGTAGGGTAGGTTTGGCAGGGCAATTAAAGATGTTGATGATGTCTCGAAAAATACTTCCCCGAACATCAGAAAGATTGGGCAGTTCTCTGAAGCAAAGTTTGGTGGTTTCTCTGAATTCTGGCTAGTGAGGAAAATGCGGTTTTAAGGGATTATGAACGCCAAAATTCGTCAAAATGCCGAATATAGATCGGAAAATACCGCTATATGGAAAACGTTGACCGACTTACGAACCTGATCCGCTCACTGACAAAATGCACATATGTACAAAATTCGTTCGAACATGATTACAAGCGATGTACGTATAGGCATATGCAGATAGACGGAAAACACTAAATCAAGTTAGCATTTTACGCTGATCAAGAATTTAGGGAATAATATAATTATTTCAAGGAGTTATAAACATAATAACAAAGTTAATATACCTTCCGTTGTCATTATCATTCCGTTGGGACCTATGTGTATATAATTAACGACAACAAATGAGTGGCATGCAATAATCCACACATATATCTTGTTTTCTTGAGTATTACAAACAAATGAACGAATACATAATGAAAAAGTTCACAGTTAAGCGACAAAAAACATATAATTATTTAACAATTATATACCTACCTACCGCATTATTGAACTCCTCACTTTCAAATATCTCTTGCTTCGTAATGATAAAATTTCAACAAGTTCGATAACATTGTCTTATCTACATACATACATCACAACGATATTCTACTTACTTGTTATATTTCCATAGAGCCAACGATACAGCCAGAAATGGCAACATTAAATAAACGCTGAACTTATGACCATCGACTTGATGGCCCAAACACAATTCAATTGCATTGAAAATCAATATAGATGCGGCAACAATTAACGATTGGCCAACCTCCAGGCCATTGATGCCGGCCAATATATTAATTGCATTGGTACAGAATACAGCCAACATTCCCATATAAATGTAATACAGAACCCCTGTAGAAAATACAATTAAGCCATCTTCATTCAACAATTAATATTATTGAACTTACCAATATCTAGGGAATAACCAAATAAGCCTCTTACAAATTTTGGCATTATTATCGTTGTCGAGTTATAATTAACATAATATACCATCAACAATGGTAACGTTGCAATGGTGGGTAACAAAAGTTTATGCCTCCATCTTAGGTCCAATACATCATCGGCGAAACCCAACAAAATCATGCAACATATCGACAGCAAGGCCACAATCAATTCCACAAATTCTTCATGGGGAAATGTGGCTGGTTTGCCACCAGTCTCCACGTCCATGGCAGCGGCTTCTTCTAACGTGAATGGCACAGGAATAAACAAAAACATTGCCACCAAGAAGACACAGCCCACCAAAACACCCAATGATTCTGGTCTGTGGAATAAAGGGCCAAACAATGTATTGAAGATCTCCCTTTCTGCCACCAGAATACTTACATTTCTTTTTTGTCTCTTTTGCACAGATCCTTTCCAAAGAGATTGGCCTTGATAAACATATCCTTAAAACGCGGTATAATGCGCAAAGCCATAAAATAGGCCCCGACCGCAATTAGGCCATTCAAGGCCACTGTTATATAGGTCATCCTTTCGATATATACCCAAATCTAACTTCCTTGATAAGAATTTTGGTCTAATTTAATTAGTAAGCCGCTGACATTAGTAACGTTGAATGAAGAAGTTTACGACGACGGACAGAAACAGAATTACCAATTAGAATGCCACAGCAAAGCAATTCTCAAAAAATTGATAAGAAATGTCAAAATGATAAAAACGCATAATGCTAGGAACACAATTGGAGCGAACGACGAATTTTTTCGCGGCGTATGTTCGTCGTCAAAAATAAAACACATATGTGTATATGGAAGTGCACACAATCACGGCACCGGCGAAAATTTCGTCGGTCGCCGCGAACTCAATTAGCTTTATTTCTATTTCATACGCCGGCGACCGGCGAACAAAACAGTACAAGGTGGCCATACTTGTACGAATTTTATGTGTTTTAGTAAATAAAGTTACTTTTTACTTTAAAATTTGTTATGGTCACTCTACTATCTGTTACTCGTATAAAAAAACATAATTAATTTGTTTATTTATTTGTGTACTTGCGCCTGAGTGAAGATGGATATCAGTGAATTTATAATAGAGAAGATGGACATAAGTGAAATTATAATAGAGAACGTAAAGAATTATGTGTTCTTGTATAATTCATTGTAGTCAACAAATGAGCAAAAAGTAAACAACTTCATCAGCTGTTTTATAATTTCGTCGGTATTGTGTTCCATACGACGAATTTTCGCGGCTCATTTTGTCGCCGCGTAGGGCGAAATTCGTCGTTCGCTCCAATTGTGTTCCTAGCATAACATCTGTTATCTGCCGGCAAGGGATATGTAAATCAACTTTTGACTTTAAAGCTGCAAACACACAGACGGCCAAGGTTGTCAGTCGAAATTGTATCACGGGCTTGATTTTTGTTCTATCACTAAAGGTGGGAATACATAAAGCACTTATTTGGCTGGCTTAATTCATCGGCTGGCTTCTTCGGAAATGAACAAAGGAGCCTAGGGCCAAAATCGAACTAACTCAACCTAAAACTCATTTGCTCCTCTACAAAGAAGCCAGCCGATGACTTATGCTAGGAACACAATTGGAGCGAACGACGAATTTTTTCGCGGCGTATGTTCGTCGTCAAAAATAAAACACATATGTGTATATGGAAGTGCACACAATCACGGCACCGGCGAAAATTTCGTCGGTCGCCGCGAACTCAATTAGCTTTATTTCTATTTCATACGCCGGCGACCGGCGAACAAAACAGTACAAGGTGGCCATACTTGTACGAATTTTATGTGTTTTAGTAAATAAAGTTACTTTTTACTTTAAAATTTGTTATGGTCACTCTACTATCTGTTACTCGTATAAAAAAAACATAATTAATTTGTTTATTTATTTGTGTACTTGCGCCTGAGTGAAGATGGATATCAGTGAATTTATAATAGAGAAGATGGACATAAGTGAAATTATAATAGAGAACGTAAAGAATTATGTGTTCTTGTATAATTCATTGTAGTCAACAAATGAGCAAAAAGTAAACAACTTCATCAGCTGTTTTATAATTTCGTCGGTATTGTGTTCCATACGACGAATTTTCGCGGCTCATTTTGTCGCCGCGTAGGGCGAAATTCGTCGTTCGCTCCAATTGTGTTCCTAGCATTAAATGTACAAGTTCATAAAAAGTTGGAAGTCATGGCTAGGCATAAAAATTATACATAAATTATAATTGAAAACGACGGCAGGATGTTAGTGCGGCTCTGTAATACCCTTATGAAATGTCACAAAATATGCCTAGCCATGACTTCAAGCGTCTTATGTACTTACAACCATGGTACAATGAAGAGAAGGTAGGTCAACTTTGAAAAAATTGCAAGTATAGAGGTCTACCTGTTTGGCTTGTAATGTCAGAAATAGTATCGAAACAATAACAAAATCAAACAACTTGTTGCATTTATTTTGAATAAATAATTGAAAACCGCGATAACTGAATGAAAGGTCAACACTTCTTTTCAAAATCATGTACTATATACCATGGTACAATGATATCAAGGTAGGGCTATGATACCATATGATTTCAATTTTTTTATTTTCTTGGCTTAATATGTCATCTTTATTTGTTTATGTATGTGTTTTCTTTTCAATAACAAAACAATTGTTCAGAAATCATTCAAATTAGGATGTTTTCAAAATGTTTATTTCATCGTTTGCATCGACAAAATCTAGAGTTTTTGTAGCGAAATAATCCTTTAGAGATATATAGAACCTGGTTTTGAAAAGAAGTGTTGACCTTTCATTCAGTTTTCGCGGTTTTCAATTATGTATTCAAAATAAATGCAACAAGTTGTTTGATTTTTTTATTGTTTTGATACTAATTCTGACATTACAAGCCAAACAGGTAGACCTCTATACTTGCAATTTTTTCAAACTTGGCCTACCTTCTCTTCATTGTACCATGCTATATACCTCTCAAGGATTATTTCGCTACAAAAACTCTAGATTTTGTCGATGCATACGTCGAAATAAACATTTTGAAAACATCCGAATTTGAATATTTTCTGAACAATTTTTTTGTTATTGAAAATAAAACACATACATAAACAAATAAAGATGACATATTAAGCCAAGAAAATAAAAAAATTGAAATCATATGGTATCATAGCCCTACCTTGATATCATTGTACCATGCTTACAACCTAAGCCAGCCGAATATGCGCTTTATGTATTCCCACCCTAAAGTGTGGATACATAAGCCGCTTGGTATCAAGTTGCCTAGCCTTGATGACAAGATGCTTATGTAATGTCAACTAATGGCTCAGGCCCTTACATTATGCTATATCACAAAATATGCCATCTTGAAGTTTTTGGAAGTTTTACGAAGCTGTTCTACCTCCTTATTGTACCATGGGACAATTAAGGACGAAAATATGCATTTACTTTGCAAACGAATTTGAAATAATTTCAAATAATTGTAGTTTTTATTCAAAACAATACACACACATATACAAAATGTGTATATGTTTTGACAGCAGAAGGGCACCAAAAGAAAAAAAATTGTATTTAGGGGATAGCTTTGTTCTACCTTCTGTAATTATGCCAGATATCAATGTTACCAAGCGTTGATGCATTTACCTGTATTCTTCTACCATGGAGTGGACCTTATTGTACCCTAATGTAGTACCTGTATGTAGAAAAAAATTGTATGAAATTAAACTATGTATCTATTGACGAAGGAGGTACGGTGAATACATTTTCGCCTGTTCTTTCTCTTTTGTTTAATCCTAATACAAAATAAAACTAAAACATTTATACTGTTTGAGCTTTAGAATTCTTTCATCAATTTCTCACAGCTACCAGAACTTGAACATGAACTTGGCAACCCCGCAACTTCGTCTGTTTTGTGCAGAAATGTTTTTGTTGTAATCGCTCTTTAAATAGGGAGTTTACGACTTTCCGAGTTGTCGATTTTTTTTACCGATTTTTTCGGGAATTCAAAAATAAGTTAAAGAATTCCACTACAGTTTCTGGAACAAAAAAGTGTGCACTAACTTATACTATTCCCATCCCTTCAGCTTTATTGTAAAACATCTGGAATGATAAAAACGACATATACTTGTATGTCAGACCAAATAAAAGGATTTCTCCACTCTTCTCTTGGTAGAACAAAGAAGTTAACGTCATGCAATTGTATGTTTGCATTTTTTTTAAAATTTTACATGTTTATTGAGAAATACATACACAAATCAAAGATGGGAACCTGTTTTCTTTGCCATTAAATTTAACTAGATAATTTACAGAAAAATGCAGAGTTGGGCTTAATAATTTGATATGATGTTACCTTGATATAATTGTACCATGCATTTTCCCTGCATCCAAGTGTTTCTGCACCGTTTTGTTCAATGGCGTGTAAGCCACTTTACATTTTCATCTTTCCCATTTCTGTTCAACAATCTGGCAATATAAAATTGTCATGGGTCAAATTAAATTTGTGACTAGTTCCGCGCTCTTTTAGTGAATGTGTTCAGTTTTCTTTATGTCTTATTCGTAAACAAAAGAGGTCCCTCGGGGATTTTGCTTCTGTTTACTTTTTATCAAGTATTCCTTTGTGGCCTTCATATTCGTTTCGTTGGGACTTGTTGTTCATGCCGTCAGAAAAAAATCGGAAAAATCGGATAGTTTTATACATATAAAGAAAAATATGGAGGTTCAAATAAAACAAGAAGCTGATAGCGATGATGAAGGCCCTTATCCCACACCAGTTGCAACAAATATTCAAATGGTGGTAAAGAAAGAAGAGCTAATTATCGAGGATACTTGTGAAGCCAACTACAACAATGAAAACCCAGACCAGGAAGAAGAGTATCATGTAGACGGATATTCCATACACTTTATGGATGGGGATGGTGGCGGTGGTGGTGGTGGAAAGGATCTTGACAATGAGGATTATTCTAATGAATGTAGCGACAACGATGTTGCTTTGTTGGAAGATGCTAGCAACGATTTAAGCGCATCATCGCCATCGGAAGATGAAGCCGTGGAACAGAAAAGCGGACCCAAAAAAAGACAAAGACGGAAGAAAAAACAATCTGAAATTTATGTTAAAGTTGTAAATTTACTTCATCAAAACACGATACGCATACTATGTCCCATATGCAAGGTGGCGATACAAAGATTCGGTATGTGGTCGAAACACATAACTCACTATCATTCCCAATTTGCTGAAGAGATAAAAAGTAACTATGAATATTTATCCACTCGAACGGCTACTTGTAAAATTTGCAGTTTGACGTCGACGTCTCATGCCAATCATTTCCTACATTACCTAAGTAGTCACAGTTCCGTAAACAATGTATTATTTGTTTGTAAGCTTTGCAAACTCAGAGTAGTTGATTTTACGACCATAGTGGAACACATGAATGAAAACCATAAAACGTTAAAGGTTACCTTTACATATTGTCCGATTCCCGAGTGCAATATACAGTTTCCGGAAAAAATGCTAATGAAACTACATTTTATGGATATTCACAATAGGGAATTTAAAACCAAGTTTGGGTTTTTCAATTGTGCCCTATGCAATCATCCCAAATTCGATAAGGAAAATCAATTTTTTGATCATCTAATGAATTTACATGGATTGTGCGATTATAACTGGAAGCTGTTGCATTTTTCACAAGTCTGCTTGAATGGAGAGAAGCAGTTTGAATGTCTCGAGTGTTCTCAAAAATTCGTTGATACAGAAGGACACAAACGGCTGGAACATTATCTGTCCCATAAAGAAGAATTTGTTTGGTTCTGTAGATACTGTCAATTGAAATTAACATTTAAGGACACCCTGCACTTTTGTACTCAAATGTACATACATTTTTCGAAGGTTAGAAACCAGCCATCATCATCTTCCAACGTTCCGCCTCCAACATTACTTTCAACATTAGACATTCCTGCCTACGAAACAACAGAATGGCGAGCATTCGAAGCATACATAATGCATGTATGCCCATTTTGTGGGAATGATTTCAACACCTTTACATCGTGGCAATTGCACCTGAGGCAAACGCATCTTATTAACTCATTAAAGGGCTTACGTCTATCAATTATGGAGAGTGATTCCAAGAAATACGTTTGCATCGATTGTGGTACAGGAATAGAAAAATCATCAAAGGACATACATACGCATCGTTTCCAACATTTACCCCATTTTCCATATACGTGTCTGAAGTGTGCGGAATGTTTTCGAGATTTGGAGACGGCCGTTGAACATTTTCAAAAGCAATGCGGAGATGACGATAGTATCAGTTTGCAGGATGACTATAAATCGATGAAGATACCAAAATTGTGTGATGACGAATTGAATTGGATTGAGATATTTTGTTCAATGTGCAAGAAAATAAAACGTTTCCCCGCCAAGGAAGATATTGAAAAGCATTTCCGTGATAGTCACAATAATTTTATATCTCAATTCAATAAAAGTGCAAACAATATCGATATGGTTTGTAGGAAGTGTAAAACAACAATACGCAGCGTCAGTAATGAAATATATCTAAATCATTACATAAAGCACTTAGGTGATGGACCCTACAGGTGTTTGATGTGTCAACGTTCCTATACGGGCCTGGATATATGCCGAAGACATGTACGTAGATTCCACAATATGGGTATTCGAATGAAGAAGAAGTATGAAGAAGACTCTGACATGCCAGAAAACGTTATGAAAGGTGTAAAACGAAGGCTTATTAAATCGGAAAGAAAATCTACCACACCAACCAGCTCTGGCAGCGGCAACCAACAGGATACCATTAACAACGGCCTGGGTACACTCTCTAGCAAGTCAATAATTTTAAATGAGTTTGTAAGTTTTATTGGATTTGCCTGTCCTGAATGTAATCAATTGTTTGATACACATACCGCCTGGAATGAACACATTAGCAAAGAACACACATTCTTTAACCTATCCGAGGTGTCCGTATACGATGCCGCGTCGGGTAGGCATAAATGCCTGCAGTGTAGTCGATTGCTTGATAGTAGTATGTCGCATCGGCAAAAACACAAGCTAAACCATATGCCGCATAGAGCATTTATTTGCACGTTATGTGAGTCGCGTTGCAAGTCGCTGGACTTAATTTATGGCCATTTGCGTCGTAATCACTTTCGCAAAGGGACCTTTGAATGTCCCATATGTTTGGTCAATCTGACTACATCCTATGAACGATCGGTGCATGTTAAACGGGCTCATCCACGCTCCGAGTGGCCGGAAACTATGTGTTCGATATGCTATCAAAAGTATAGTTCATTGGCGTCGCATATGTTAAGCCACGATGTAAATAGACCGAAAAAGATTTGTCCAGTCTGTGGTACTGGTATCGTAACCATAAGTGATTTAAAAAAACATATAATTAAGAAACACAATGTAGACGATCCATCGCAAATTCTTGCCAAGGCTAATTTGATTTCTTCTCGTGCAGCAGCATCGAAGGCTATCAAAATGGAAGAAGGTGAAACAACTGATACAAGTTCGGAAATATCTGATGGTGGTGGTAACAGTCATCAACCGTCTGTATCGAATGAAATCTAGACTAAAACAAAAGTATGAATATTTCTATTTTAGATGAATCTTAAATAATGTATGTACACCTTTATGTGGTAAATAAAAATACGAAAACAAATGAAATGGATGTATGTGTTTTTGGACATCTCCTTACCTAACGACACCTCCTTACCTAATGGAATAAGTAGAAAGTTTCTGGATGCATAATGTATGCAACATATTTAATGCTGGAATGCCACCCCTGTGTATGATTAGAATAGTAAATAAAAATGGGTTCGCAAATCAGTTTTGTCATGAAATTCATTTGTTCATGCCCTACCTCTACACTGTTGGCGTCACAAACTGTCGTATGAATGTTCTATACATTATTGTTACCTATCTTGGTGAGTAGGCATGTGATTTCATGGTACCAAAAGGGTACGAAAAGTACAAAAACTGTACAAAAAATTAAATACTTTGTTATTTTTTAACCCTCCACCATAGTATGTCATTCCGTTTGAAACGCCTTGTAATATACAGGGTGAGATAAAAAAACTGCAGCAAAGTCAAACGCCATAATTTCTACACATTTTTATAAATTTTATTGAATGAATGCACAAAATGTCGGAAACAGCATCAAATTTTAGTATGAGTTTAGATTTGTTCGAATTGGCCACCTTTGGCACGAATTATGGCCTTCAGTCGGCCAATGAAAGCGTCACACGCTGCCCGAATGTTGCTCTGCGGTATTTTGGTCCATTCCCGGTGAAGCGCTTGCTAGAGGCGATTGACAATTGGGTATTTTTTAGTACCAATCTTGCTTTCCAAAATACTCCAGAAACAGTAGTCCAACAGATTGGTATCCGGAGATTTTGGTGGTCATTGTGCGATGGAAATGAAGCGAGGAACCGAAGGTGCACATATTCAGCTGACCTCTTTGGCAATTTTAGTATGATGTTAGATTTGTTCGAATTGGCCACCTTTGGCACGAATTGTGGCCTTCAATCGGCCAATGAAAGTGTCACACGCTGCCCAAATGTTGCTTGCCAATGTTGTCGCTTGCTAGAAGCGATCGACAATTGGGTATTTTTTAGTACCAATCTTACTATCCAAAATACTCCAGAAACAGTAGTCCAACAGATTGGTATCCGGAGATTTTGGTGGCCATTGTGCGATGGAAATGAAGAGAGGATCCTCATTTTGTAACCATTATTGGGTGGTGCGTGCTGAGTCCTGTTGGAATGTCCAAGGTCCGCGGACAAAATGTTTGCGTGTCCAAGGCTTTAATACACCCTCCAGAATATTTTCGCGACAATATTCGGCATTTATTCTGATGCCACGGTCGATTAATACGAGCGGAGAGCGGCCGTCGCTTGAGTTCTGGTGGCCAACCGAAGGTGCACATTTTCAGCTAACCTCTTTGGCAAGTTAACACGATCATTTTGTTTGTTTACAAATTGCTGGACAACGAATTCAGTAGTTCGCCACTTTCGGCCAAACGAAGCAACTTTTTAGCTCTTTTGAGTCTATTTTTTTTTTTCGTTGCGTTGAAAAATACATATCATTACAACCTCCGATTTGCGTCGTAAAAGAAAACATATAAAAATCTTCTCATTTTTACAGAACATTTTAAAAATTTTGACATATCAATGTACCCATCTACCTATATTCTTCTACCATGGTCGTATCGCACCAATTCGTAAACAAATAAAAAACATACATACCTGGGATTTTGTGCCTTTTTACATTTTATCTCATTCTCCTTGGTTTTCCTAATTCATTTATTTACAAGGTGGCAAGATATTTTAATTCAAATAGTTTTATAAATATTTCTACATTTACAAAATACACATATACAGAGGTAAATTTGAAAATTTTTAGTATTTTTTATTTCCTTTTTGATCGATTTCAGAAAAACTTTACAGCAAGAAAAGACAGGCATGCATTCAACATTTGTTTGTATTTATAAAATTTGTCTTGTCTGGAACGTTTTTAAATAATGTTGCAATGAGAACATAGCATAATTTTGAAAGCGAACAAAATAATTGAAATTGCAATGAGAACATAGCATAAGTCGAACAATCGACTATGAATAGTCAAGTACTCGGTTTTCACCCAAGTCCATAGTCAAGTTCGAATTTCAGAACTTTGAGTACTAAAAGCCGATTATTCGATCGAAAGTCGACATACCTATCCCTAGGCGTCCCTCTGGCAAAGCAATTCAATTGATAAGTCAAATAAAAATGGTAAAAACACATAACATCTGTTATCTGCCGGCCAGGGATATGTAAATCGACTTTTGACTTTAAAGCAGTAAACACACCGACGATTAAGTGAAGTGACCAGTATTGCCAAGAATTTAAGAAAACCGAAATGTATGTGCCAAACTGAAGTTTTGTCATTAGTTGTGTTCCAGTACTTTTTTAGTAGTAAAACTAGCAGAGAGGAGAACAGTTCGAAATGTCATTCTCATTTAGGTGTGCTCAGAAATTAAGGGAACGGAAAATTAGAAGAAATGCGAATGTCAAAATTCCAAAAGTAAACAGTCTAAATCGGACTGATGAAAATCTAAAAAAATGAGTATTGAAGACGATATGTTAAATTTATAATCTATAATAAAAAATAATAATCTGATTCCTCATTCACTGCTGGAATCATCCAAAAGTGAATACATTAGTTGCTCCATATTTTCTCTTTTTGTTTTTTCCACGACAAATATTAGTTTTGAAATTGAAATGTATCAATATATGTGCACCATTTTTTTTCTCGAAAGAGCTGCAAATTTTGCTAGTTTTTGGAGTACGGGAACGCGTTGTAGCAGAATTAGTACTAATTAGTACTAATTTGTAGGTTCTGGAACACAACTATTATGGTGTATGAAATTAAACTATGCATTTGATGATGAAGGAGGTTGTTCTTTCTTTTTTGTCTACTCCTAATTCAAAATAAAACTAAAACATTGATGCCGTTTGAGCTTCAGAATTCTTTCATCAAATTCACCAAACAGTGTCAGATTTCAGGCCATGCCACCAGAACGTGAACTTGGCAACCCTTTAACACCGTTTGTTTTGTGCAAAAATGTTTTTGTTGTAGTCGCATCGCTTTTTTCGCTTTTTAAACAAAACTATAGGTAAACAAAATTTCAAAAATGGAGGAAGTTAAAAATTCTGTGATTTCGGTTAATGTACCGGCAGTGCAGTTTGAATCTAACAAAGAATTCCAGACCAAAGGTATACTTTATGATGGCGACAGCGGTTTCTTGCGTTATCGCCACAAATTCATTCAACCCAAAGGAGACACTCAGGCCAATCGGGAAATCCTGACCACATTGTTGGCAACGCAGGGCGACAATAGCAGTGATTTTGTTGAAAAGCTCATTGCCGAAGATATATCCTATCGAGATTTGGCCTCGTTAAAACACGATGACCTTGAATTGATGGGTTTCAATAAACGTAAACAACGTGAGGAGTTGTTGGCGTTCTTTGAACAACTACCCAATCAGGATCCATCATATGAGCAGTAAGTATTGCCGGTTTGTTGGAGAAGCTATATTAATCTATTTTTTGTGTCTTTCAAGGATATGCCAGTTAAAAGAAGCCTATTCTTATAATCGAAAAATTCTTAACAACGCCAATCAACATTTGGAAACTATGCGCTCTGCACTGGCAGCTGCAAATTATAAATTACAAATTATGCCACCTGACGATGTAATTGTTGGGGAGAAGTCCTTTGCCAGTCGCTTTGTACTGGAAGCCCTCAATGAGCTGTATGGCGTTACCGATGATATTGACAAGGAAATTAAAAGTATTGAAGAGGTTTGTACATTGCTACTATGTCCATATAAATGTATAGAGATTGTTTATAATTACCTACAGTTATAGAAACTAAAGGCTAGCTTGATCGCTTAATATGTGGGTATGCCCAAAGAGGGAATAGACCGTTGTGCTAAATTCATTGAATTTCTACAACTCATATGACTTAATCTTCAATATTCGCATTAAAGCCACCGAGTAGGTGGGGGGTCACGACCAAATATATCCGAGACAGGATCTATATCAGAATGTCTTCCCATCCCCCCTTATAAATACGATAAAACGCCAATCTTTTTGAGAAAATATTTCTTTCTTAATATTCTCTATTTTTATTTAACAAATTTGTTCTAAACGAAATAAGACTCGATATTATTCATTACTTTAAAAAGTTCACCAAGAGCTCAACAAATTTGGCAGGTTGTTCAAAATGCACCAAATGACCAGCGTCCAGCCAATGAATATCTGAATTGGGAAATATCTTTTGTATTTGTGGCCAACTTTTGGGATCGACAAAATTCGATTTATTGCCACAAATGAACATTGTACGGCCCTTGTATGGCTCCAATCCAGCAATATGCGATTCAAAATCGGAGAATAATCTCAGATGATTATACAGTGTTTCAACATTAGCTGCCCACTTGAAAGTACCATCGGGATTTTTTCTTAAATTGAGTAGAATAAAATCTATGGTTTCCTTAGATGCTACCGCTTTTTTCATTTCTACCTCGGCATATTTACGTCCATCGGCCATCGCCATTTCCGGTGGTACACGCAAATTCATCATAGCACCAAAAATTTGTTCCATTTCATAGAAATCTCTGGGCAATGTCAGTGGGGAAATATCAACGATAACACCGCTCTCGACTAGATGCGGATATTTAAGAGCCATATACATCATGGTCCTGCCACCCATACTATGACCCATAACGGATATTTTGTTTATGTCCAACTGTTGCATAAGATGAACTATGTCGGCAGCCATATGCATGGAACTGTGTTCGGCCGTGTGTGGAGAATCACCATGATTACGGGCATCGACGGTAATGACTCTGCGATTTGTCTTGGCCTGCAACGCTTTTCCGACTGCCCTCCAGTTTTGTTTTGAACCAAACAAACCGTGCATTATAACCAAAGGTGGTCGTGACATGTCGGTATTGGCACCCTCAAAGAGATTATAGGCCATTTTAACTGGTGCAACATTTTCACTATATTGTCGAGTACATTTTTGAATTAATGGAAATATAAATCTTCTTCCGGAATATAACATCTCTAGGCAGTAAAGTCACACAGGAGAAGAGATAGCGGCCATTAGAATGAAATTCAAAGTGATAAGACCATCTAGGGTTGCCAAGTTGAGACATAGAACATATGACGACAAGAACGTAAACATTGGGGGTACTCATTACAAGCATACGCATAGCATAGTAAGCAGATATTTGAATACTTGATTTTTTACATAAGATATTTATTTTTTCTTATAGGCAAACAACAATAAGGTTGGGTTTACTAAATTCTGGGTAATATATATTTTTGGGATTTGTTGCAATAAACATATGCGAACCATATAATCCATGTTAGACTCAAGTTCTGCTAACAAATATTTTTCACATCAAAGCTTGTTTTTTATGGTGGGAATCAGTATATAATTTTTATATTTACGAATCTTTTCTTATTTTACAGATAATTAGCAGCAAATACAAAAAATCGAATTTAAGCGTCAAAGAACCTAAGAAATCGAAAAAATCCATGTTGGCATCCTATTTATATATGGGCTCACTAACGACCCTAGGAATATTGATGGCATTATATTACTGGAAAGTTAAAAAGTAAAAAAAGAAAAACATATACACTGTACCTGTAGCAAAACATTTCCAGCAGAGGATTTCCTGTTATTGACAAATTGAAGATAATTATTTTTAATAAAAAAAAAACTTTATATTCGAATAAGATAAACGTTATAGTCATTGAAAGAGACTAATATCATTCGTTAAGTACAAATAAGATGCACTAACTATTTTTTCTATGTTATAAGAATTTGAAGAATAAATGTTAAAATGTTCAAAATAAAATGTAGTCACAATTGCAACATAGAATAAAGGTGTGAGCACATAAGCAGCTTGAAGTCTTAGCATGACATATTTTCTGACATATCATAAAGGGATACCGTCGTTTCCCTTTATAATTTGACATTAATATGCCTAGCAAAGATGTCAAGCTGCTTATATACCTTCATATGTTTCTTACCGGCTTAAAGGTGCAAACACAAAAAGAGCTTTTTCATAGAGAGCATTATAGATTGATTCCAGATTCACATTGTTAAAAATCCTCATTATATCGAGGAAAACTGCCAAAGTAAAGTTGGAATTTTTCATGTTTTTTCTCAATGTATCGGTCAACCTCGTGTCTCCACTGTTCGACGATGGATATATCCTTGCTACGATGTATTTATTATATTAAAATTTTCATTCAAACAAATTTCCAGATATTCATTAGAAATAAGAGAGGCTAATCAGTCTGTAAACTTTAGCTAATGTGTGGCAAGGTTGCCCGGCTTTGGGAATATAGGTCATCGTTACTTCTTTCAACAAACTGGGTACGAAGCACAATACAAGAAAAGAGTTAACAAGTAAAAAAACTGTAAGTTCAGCCGGGCCGAACATTGAATATCCTCCATCATGATCTGTTAAAATCTTAAAAATACCGAACGTATCTGTTATATTAGGATCTATACGACGACATGGACCTGCATAGGTAACTTTTGTCATAAGCCATTACAATATTTAAATGCGAAACTTAAAAAAAATCGGTGAATAATGTGGCTAAAATCATAAAAATACTGAATATCGGGACGTACCGTTATATATACGAAGGCTATACGAAGACGTGCACCTGCACAGACGATTTTCTGTCTTAGGCAATTACGAACTTCAAATACCAAATTTGAAACAATTCCGATGAATAACGTCGCTAAAATCATCAAAATATCGAATATCGGGAGGTACCGTTGAATGGGGGCTATACGAAGACGTGCACAGATAATTTTCTGTCATAGGCTGTAGTATCGATTTCGAACTTCAAATACCAAATTTGAAACATTTCCGGTGAATTATGTCGCAAAAATCATCAAATTACCGAATTTCGGGAGGTACCGTTATATGGGGGCTATTCGAAGACGTGGACCTGCACAATCTCCTGTCATAGGCTGTAGCATCTATTATGAACATCAAATGCCATATTTGAAACAATTCCGGTGAATAATGTCCCTTAAATCATTCAAATTCCGAATATCAGGATGTACCGTTATATTGGAGCTATACCAAAACATGGACCTACATGGCCCATTTTCAATACCAAAAGTCCTTCAACAATTTTTACAAATTTAAATAATTTTTCATTCAACATTTTCAATTCCAAAATTGGTTTGACAGTTCATTGTCCAAGCAGCTGTGTCGACGCCTCTACCTATATTCTTCTACCATGCCATGGACTTGGGATCGTTAGATAGTATTTTACAAAATATGGCAGCATAATCTAGCCCCTCTACAGACTCTCCAAAGTTGACCCAAGATCTACGTTTAGCCTTCTTTAACTCACTTTTGTACTCATTAAAAGCGTCCCAATCAGTGCTAAGTTTAGATTTGCTTGCTCTGTTATAAGACATCCTTGCTTTTTTGCAAAGAATGGGTTTTTGGTCGGGCGTAATGTAAACATATTCGAAATTTAGTAGACGGTTACTTGTTGTTCTCTAAGTGCTTACCACATTCCATAAAAGTTCGACGTAACGCTTCGCTTGCATTGCCGTCAAACGCTCCAATTTAGTGCACACGCCAGGCGAAAGCTTTCGCAACAAAAGAAAATGCAGAAAAAAAGTTGCGTCTCGTACACAAAAGGAAATTCAAATACAAGTCACACTCCCACCGAGAAAAGCCGGCATTTTTCTTGCTTGTTGAAGAAAATCTTTTTGGAAGGACTCTTTTTGCAATTTTTTGCTCGTCATCACATATTGATCTCAAAGCCAAAATGTCTTCAGTTTGGACCCCATTGGAATCGAATCCCGATGTAGGTTTAAAAACAATCATTTAGAATAGAATATATGAAACCACAAAGTCCTAACAAAAGAATTGTGGTGACGGTGGTGGAAAAATGCCTGGCGACAACTAGGCGTCATTAAACAGCTTGCTATGACTCATGGTAAAAAATGTTTGAAATTGTTGATTATTTGTAGGTTCTAACTAAATACATACACAAATTGGGGGTGTCCAAAGAATGGGCTCTCATCGATGTTGTCGGTCTGGAACCGGAAATGTTGGAATGGATTCCAAAACCCGTAAAATCGATTATCTTGCTATTCCCATGTTCGGAAAAATATGAAAAACATCGGGCCGAGGAACATGAACGTTTGGCCGCTGAGGCTCAGGATTATCCCAAATCTCTGTTCTATATGCGTCAATTTACCTCAAACGCCTGTGGAACTGTGGCCCTTATTCACAGTGTGGCTAATAATGAAGAGTATGTTTGATTGAGACAGTTAATATTTGGATTCGTTATTTTAATTTTTTTTTTCATGTTTACAACAGCGTTAAAGTTGAAGATGGTGCATTGAAAAAATTCCTGGAAACCGCCAAAGACTTATCACCTGAGGATAGAGGCAAAGCGTTGGAAAACGATAAGGGTGTGGCTGAAGATCATCAGGCATTGGCAACCGTAAGTATTTTATTGTATAGGGGAATATAATTTAAAGTCAATAAAAAATGTTGACTGTTATGAGATACTTCCCGGCGAATATTGAATATTTCATGCCTCAGTCTATCTTTCGAAGATAACTGTCTTGTTCCTCATGAAAGGTAAAAACAAGAAAACCGATTAAACCTAAATGTGTTTGAAAACTTTATCAAGAACTTAATGGAGCAACACGCATTGTGTTAGGTTTGTTTGTAAGGTGGCTTTCACATTTATATTACACATTTTTGTAGCATACTTTTAGGCGCTACTCACAATTGTAATATATAGAAGCGCTTTGGATAGTTATGTAAGTAAATATATTTACGGTATAAATAAAGTATAATTTAAATAATCTATAGGTTATAATTTTTATATCCTCCATCAAACATAGTATGGATGGTATATTAAGTTCGTCATTCCGTTTGTAACTCATCGAAATATATTTTTTAGACCCAACAATCTATATATATATTCTTGATGAGCGTAAAATCCTAAAATTCGTCCGTCCGTCTGTTGTAATCACGCTACAGTCAAAAATGAATTAAGATAGGGAGCTAAAATTTTGCACAGATCTGTCTTTTGTCTGCAGACAGGTCAAATTCGAAGATGGGCTATATCGGCCCAAGATATCGTATAGGCCCCATATTCCGGTACCCCCACGGTATTCGGTATTGTGATGATTTTATCCACATTTTTTAATGGAATTGTCTGCAATTGTACACAAGAAGTTCCTTATGAGTACTTTACCCCCTGGAAGAGAATTATCTATATAGGTCCACGATATCGTATAGCCCCCATATAACAGTACCCTCCGATATTCTGTATTTTTTATTTAATTTTTTGAAAATTTGCTAATTCGTCCCAAGTGGTGAAGTCTATTCAAAGTTCGGCCTGACAGAACTTACTGCTTTTTTAGTTGTTTTTTGTTTAAATATTATTGTAAGCGCTTATAAGTATGCTATAAAAATGTTATACACAATGATTTCACGTCACTCTACGTATGTCTAACATGATTGGTAAACTTGATAGCCCTACAAAGAAAATAACACCTCCCCCCCAAACTTTTTATTTCTTTCCATTATTAGGAGGGTCAAACCACTGCCAATCCTGAGGAGAAAGTCTATCACCATTTCATTGCTTTGGTCAATGTGGATGGTACCTTGTATGAACTGGATGGACGTAAATCGTTCCCCGTAAAACATGGTGCCACCACACCCGAAACTTTTGTACAAGATGCTGCCCGAGTATGCAAGGAATTTATGGCACGAGATCCTGAAGAGTTACGTTTCACCGTAATGGCATTGGCAGCTGCACAAAACTAAAGACTTGAAATATCTTGGAATTTACATTAACTTATACATCGCGCTAAAAAAGCTTTGCTCCACTGAATTTATAACTTTTTTTTGTTATTTTAATGTATTTGTTTTTGAACTGATGATAAAACAACGAGAGTTAGTCTCATTAACAATAAATATGTAGCTTTTTGTACGGCTTAATGCTTTTTGTTTACTATTATTATTTTAAATTTGTAATAATTCATATAAAAATAAATACATATATTTGTGTCTTTAACCCTTGTTTCTATTTTCTAATTCTTCATTAAAGTATTTAAAAAGACTATGGACATAGGAATCTACATATTGTGGATATTCCCAGGCAGAAGTCCAACGTATAAGATCCGATCTTGTTGTACAGTGCGGAAGATTTTCTAGAACAAAAAGCAAGCATTAATCAAAAAGAAAAAATCTCAAAACATTTCCACTTACCCGCTACTGCCAGTCTTATTTCAGCCTCCTTTTCGTAACGTCCTGCCAGTTCGGTTAAGAACGCAATAAATTCATCCAATTCCCACGAACGATAGAATATTTCATTACAACTTCCAGGCAGCTTACTCAAAGCTTTCAATTGTTTGAGAGATTCCTTGGTTTTAACAGCAATATCTCTGCATATTGTAGCAATAATTGATAAATTATTACAATGCGGTTTCATTGTTGCCGGATACAGGGTAAATTCGCTGCTATTTCCCTCCGTAGATGTATTAATTTGTTCCAATAATTTTGTTTTTATACCTTCGATGTGGAGACACAGATGTAAGCCGCGTTTGTCTGTGAGACACCATTTCTGGAAATGTTCTATTGTTGTCTTTGTTATGACTTCCAGACGTGCCTTACAAGCCAACACATTGCTATCAGCCGTGGACTTTGCATTTGAACTGGGAGAATCTAGAAGAATAAATTCAATACCGAAATTAAAATCTAAATTGGATAACTTGTTTCCACTAACTTACACCACACTGGAGATAAGGTGTTATTGTGTGTGGTATCTTGGGTATCTGTGGAGTCAACCATTTTTTGGAGCGCTCTTCTAAAATAAACAACGAAGCCGGAATACTTTCTCGACGGCGGCGACGACTTAACATATCGCCAATCAACGAATTTTTTTACTGGCGGCTCAATTCCGTTATATAAAAATGTATTGTTTTTACATTTTCATAGAATCTATTTATTTTTTATTTTTTATTGTAATGTCAGAATTACTATCAAAACAAATACATAAGTTGTTTTCTATCTGACAGATCTGTATCAACTGAGTAGCAATTATATTCGCAGACGACACTTGGGAAGCACAGCTGACCACATTATAAAAATTCAAAAAGATCTCCTTGTCCGTAACCCAAAAGCTGCCGGCTAACGTCTTGAGGACCTTGTTCCTACTTAATATTTTGTAGCAGATGTGGTCGTAGGTGACCTCTAGGATCTTCCCTTGACTTGTACCTACAGCTCAGTTCTCATCTTCGAAGATCGTATAGTAAAGAATGTGGCCATTGATTTAGAGGCGGATATTTTCATATTACTCGCATGGATATAGACGCCAAGTTCCGAGAGCTAGATGTGTAACCTTACCTAAATGTCTTCAAACCCAGGGCCCGACGCCATGATCGTAAAATCATTCGCTTACGTTACGATCTCTATGCCGTCTGGAGGGCGACTGGCGTCCACACATACATATAATTGATTATCTAATGTTTCAAACATGGCCAGAGGGTAGTTCTCTCTATGTCCTCAAACAGTATCAAATGCATTTGATGGGTCAAGGTCTACCAGCCGACTATGACCCGTCTTCTGGTTTAATCCTCGTATGATATGTGGCGGAATCCGCGTTGATAGTTAGCAACTGGAGAGCTTACTATGATGCTGGGTACAAGTAAAGTCTGGAGAGTAATTGCTGTGGCGACAAAAACGATATTTTGGCCTGTATGATTTGCCTTTGAAGGCATCCTTGCCTGCCTGGACAAATTTCTTCTTGCAATCACTTGCAACTCCCCTTCTTTTCCTTCAGTTGATTTATATTTGGACAAGCAATTTTAAAACATCTTTATTTTGGAAATCGTAAGCCTAATCGTTATATTTTGTTGCCTTATTTCTTTTATGGCGGACAATTTGTTTCGCTTTGACAAATCAGCCGTTTTTGCCGGGACTTCGCCTGTTTACTTTTCACAATTTTCTTACAAATCACAATAAAGTTACCTTACTCAGAAGGAATCTACTGGACAATTCCATTCCTTTTTCAAATCAAAAATGTCCGTTGGGTTGACATTTTGCAAATGTTGCCGTTTTTCAGCTTGGCAATACTTTCCGTCATCTGTTTGCTGTCAAACCGCACGTTTTTTTCTTTTGTCGGTCTCTCTGCAATAGAATTGAGAGCGCTATTAAAAAACTTGACATTCGCAAAAGTTTGTAAGTCTGTGAGATGCTTGAAAGAAACAAAGCCAGGAAAACTATTTCAAAATATTCCAGAAAAAATAACAAATAATTATATAAAAGACATAGAATTAATAAATTAATTTGAAAATTAAAATAAGTGTGAAAAATTGTGTGTGTGTTGCGTGTGTATTTTTTATAAAAGAAAAACTAGTTCCTACATCAAATATTCAGGGTAAGTCGTCTTTGTCTTCTTTCCCATCTCATGTCGGTGTATATGAGGCGAATGTGTGCTATAAGCTCCAAACATAATTCAACTTGAATTTTGTTTGTGCTTACCATTTTTTTGGGGGCCAAAAACTCGCTCTCTCTAGTAATGCTATTGGGGGAATAGTGACAAGCGGGTTGTTGTATGTCACATTTTATTATGAACTTGAAACAGATGTGTGTGTCTGTTTTGGTTGGACATGGTTCGAAAGTGAAGACCTTTGAAACAAGTTCAGAGCCATTGCAATAATAATACCGGCATTTGGCTTACTGCAGTCTCCGAGAGAGTGCGTGTGTGTGCGATTATTTATGGGTGAAATGGATTTGTGAAAGGATATTCAATTTGAGTTTTCTGTTGGCCAGCAATAGCAGCAATGTGACGACCATTCACCATGTTGAATGTAGGTTATTATGGGTCCATGGAATGGAGGGGGTTTACATTTTATATATCCATGAATATTTTCTCTTTTTTCTGCGTAGTTTTCTTCCGCCATGGCTTGTGGTTTTCGTACATTCTGTTTCTGTGAGTCTTAAGTAGATTAAATGCTGATTATTTCCTATAGTTGTACCTACAGTGTTCCTTTTGGCTGCATTGGTTTGTATGTGCCGTCATGCAATTTCTATTACTGATGGAAGACATTCATTCAAACAATAACCCATCATTTGGGTTATTTACATATAATAGATACCTAGGTGGTTGGCTATCTTACTTTCTTTTTTGTTGCACTCTTCCACAGCTTTTTGTTGTTTCGTTGTTTATTGTTGGCCATCAGTTAGATAGCTACTAGTATTCCATTTGTAATCTAATCAATTAATTGTATTTTAATTAGTATATAAATATGAATATACAAACACACATGTGTGTATGTATGTATGCATACAATTGTTTATATCATTTCAGATAATGCCAGAGAGGTAGATGGATGATTTAATCACAAATAATTCCCTTATAGGAATTTTGCAAAATTCCATTCATGGTTTGTTGATTTTTGACATGAATGAAATTTAATATGGAGCGGCGGCGCGGAATCTGTTTGTGTGGGAAGGTATTACGATGGCGACTAACTGTGAATTGTTCTAATTCAAAATGCATTAAAAATATATGTATTTTCAATTAAGGTCTCAGAAGGGACTAATGCCAAATCAAATAAATTGATAAGACCATTAACAAATTCAAGGAAATGAGGAAAACCGTTAAGGGGAATTATCTTAGTGGGCAACGCTATATATTGTTGGGTATTTTTTCATCAGATTTCTAAGAAACAATATATTACAACCACCACCCGCATATGTCGGCTGTCAGCGTAGATAATTCAGGACATATGAGACCCAAAAGATCGGATGATCAATATATATGGGAGCTATAGCCATATCTGAACCGATTTTCACCAACTGTAACATACCTTTCAATACAATAAGCCATTCGTCCGACAGTTGTTTAAATTATTGCAGTGACAGCTCATTATATTGTTTACAAGCGTACAAAAACATTTTGGTGAGAATTTTCCAGTTATTCGTGATGGAATTCAAGCTTGATAGTGTGATTCCTTTATATTTGGCTGGAAAACCACAAGTGGTTATCGTTAGAGTACTCCAGCATTCAAATGTGAATAAATCTTTTGTGTCTCGTACCATCGCTCGTTACCGTGATACTGGTAGCGTCAAGGAAGTAAACGGAAGAAAACAGCAACATCAGCAGAAATGGTTCGAAAAGTAAAGAAGCGACTTGCTCGAAACGCGCGCCTCAGTGGCCAAAAAATGGCTTATGAGCTGAACATATAGCAATATACCATTCGGCAAATATTGAAAAATGAGCAAACACAGAAAATAGACTCAAAAAAGAAAGAAAATAGACTCAAAAAAGAAAGAAAATAGACTCAAAAGAGCTAAAGAGTTGCTTAGCTTGGTCGAAAGTGGTGCACTGCCGAATTTGGTTTTCGCCGATGAAGAAACATTCGTAATCCAGAAGTTTGTAAACAAGCAAAATGATCGTGTTTACTTGCCAAAGAGGTCAGCTGAAAATGTGCACCTTCGGTTGGCCACCAGAACTCAAGCGCCGGCCATGGTGATGATGTGTGCCGCCATAACAGCCGATGGTTGCTCTCCGCTCGTAGTAATCTACCGTGGCATCAGGATAAATGCCGAATATTATCGCGGAAATATTCTGGAGGGTGTATTAAAGTCTTTGGGCACGCAAACAATTTGGCCACATACTCTGGACATTCCAACAGACTTGGCACATCTTAATATTTCCATCAACACAAGATCTGTTATAAGGATGGTAGAGATCAGACCATTTGTTCTGTGGTACCTCCCCACAGAACACATAGGGTTCAAGATTTTAAAAAACAAATGCTTAGAGAAAGCGAAATAATCATACAAATCTCTTCAAATTTCACACATCCAAATATTATTGCTAAAGTAGAATCTGTTGTGAAGATGATATATATCTGCGAACCCCTTCTGATACCTTCTGTGCTGTATTTGATATATTTCCCCAAATATCGTTGTTACAGAGTGCATATTACGGCTGCGGAGGACAAAAATATCAAATCGGATGAACAATATATATGGGAGCTATAGCTATTTCTGAACCGATTTCGATTTCAATTTTGGGATACTTATTTCCAGGCTTAATTTGGTCAAAAATTCCATACAATAAAATGCAAATCAGACGAAGATGTATATGGGAGCTATATCTAAATTTTACCGGGTTTCTCCAATTTCAATGGGGTTCGTCCTTAGGCCAAAAAAAATGACTTGTGCAAAATGTCATCTGGATCGGGCATTTCAAATATAGAAAATCAAAAGGTAGCTTTAAATGGAGTTATGAAAAATATCAGAGAAAGTTTCAGCTCATTTGCTGGGATAATGTAGCAAAAACGTTTAGAACACAGAAAATCAGGTGTTTATGGGGACTATATACCAGACAAATACCAGACGTATAGAAAGTAGCAAAAGCAGACACACACTTGAATCTCTCTGTGAAAAGTTGGTAGCCCCAAGTTCCTCATTGAATGGTTTGATGTTATGCTTAAAAGCAGAATCATCAACTCTTACATTGGGGAGAATCCCGTCAGGAGATCACAGCCTGGGCAGCCATGGCATCGGCCACCAGGTGCAGCCGGTTATAGGTGTGCAAAATGTGGAGTAGTCAATCTGCTATGCCAATGCTGATCCCTTCGTGTCCCAACCTATAGCGGAATGCAACAATTCATGGTGGACATTGAAATCTGCTGGTACAGGGCGGTTATAGCCTTATGTCAGCAAATAAAGCGGTTGTGAATTTGGCAATAACCGTCTGATATTGGACTACTCCACATTTTGCACGGTAAATGAGGATGCCACCACCCGAATAAGAGGAGAGTGTTACAGTTGGCTAGATTTAACCCTTAGTGTCACGTTCTGATATATGATGGGACTTGGCAACCTGTTATTTCCCGTGGCTTAGATCATCTTCCGATAATCGTCTC